GATCTCGAAGGGCTACAGTTTGCGTGCCGTCAGGCTTTTGTTATATTGAGTGCACTGGGTGACATTGTTGATTTAGGGAATAATATACAGTCTGCACTTGCAGACCTGAATAGCCTTATCCAACAAGAGAGAGATAATCAACAGATATTTGTGACCCTTGAGTTGCAAAAATGTTGTGGACGTGGGCGTCCACGATTGAATGTGTCAGTAGAGGCTCTGACACATCTGGTTGAACTGGGACTGCCATCGAGTTGCATCGCCAGACTCCTGGGTGTGTCTAGAGCAACGCTATTTAGGCGGATGACCGAAAATGACATTTCTATATCTGCTTCATATAGTGGCTGCACTGATGACGAATTGGATTCATTGATCACCACAATAAAAAGTGCAATGCCAGATGCTGGCTACCGTGTAGTCCGAGGTGCTCTACTTGCGAAGGGACACAGAGTGCAATGGGAACGGGTGTATGCATCCATGCATCGTGTGGACAGTGTTGGTGTGCTCGCCAGGATGACCCGGATGGGATGTGTGGTGAGGAGAACATACACAGTTCCTTACCCTAAGTACATGGTGCACATTGACACCAACCACAAGCTCATCAGGTTTGTCTGCATGCTGTCTGTATGTAATCTGTTCATTTTATTATTTTTAATGTCTAGTTGTATATATCTTGTGTATGTAATCATATCATTGTCTATCATTGACAGGTACAACTTTGTTATCTTTGGGGGAATAGATGGCTATTCAAGGAAGGTAAGACTATTCTATTGTCAAGAACCAACAACTGCAAAATGTTGCCGAACATCATGTGATGGTTTTACTTTTCTAAGCTTCAGTTTATTTTCTGTACCAACAGGTGGTGATCTTTAGGTACACAATCTAACCTATAGTTAATTACATATCGCCTCTTACCAAACAGACGATATGGACTTCTAAAGTCACCTTATATTTTAAGTGATTCAGATCAAACAATATGCATTTACTTATTTACTTAATTTCAAAATAAATACTTTGAAGAACTTGTGAAATAATTAAAACACTTATACTAGTAACCGCACAATATATGTCAAGAAGCTTGCCTGAGCTATCATGATATTCTGTTATACATTGAATAATTCTGTTGTGCGTTATTCTCTTAATGCTGCACATTGTCATTTGACAGATGCTTCAAGTTAAACTGATTCATCAAGGTACTAATATGTTGTTTTATGTGTACTTGTATGTGTAGATTATGTACTTGAAGATAGCAGACAACAACCGGGCTGACACCCACTTGTGTTTCTTCAATGAAGCTGTGAACGAGCACGGGTTTCCTCTGAGGTATTCACATTATTTCATATGTAATCATTAGTGTAATTGCGGACCTTTCCATCAAATTTAGATGTTCCCCTCCAATGGCTGCATCAGTGACGACCACTTTACTTTTGATGGGACTCATTCATTGCAAATATTGTCGTGCTTTACTGTTAGTTCAAAGAGGCAATCTGAACATATAAGTTAAAACAATTGCCATTATAAACGGTACTTTTCTAGGTCACAAAAGTGCTGTCGGACACAGCCATATCAATTGTTAATTCTATGTGAGCCCCTCACATATGACAATATATAAGCGACATGTCAGATTTTTCTATCCCTCAGCTGAGATTCATGTACTGTACAGAAATATGAAAATATAATCTATTCACAAGCTGATGTGAACCATCCCTCATTCAGGTGTGGAAGATAACTCGAGGTTTAATAAAGTGAAAGAGAACTCTTAAGGGTTACAGTTAAGGACCTGTCCAGATATCTCAAATATGTATGTCCAGAGAGAGCCATTTGTGATCACATTATGGATGTAGATCATTATGGAATTGTACCCCTCGTTTTTTGGACCTTCAAATACGTAGATTTTAACTATGCATAATTATTTGATTTATTTTCCAGAGTGAGAGGAGATCATGGTGGAGAAAATGTGGGAGTAGCACAATTAATGTTCTCAGTTCGTGGAACTGACAGTAACAGCTTCATTGCAGGGAAAAGCGTACACAATCAACGGTGAGTTAAACCTAATTTTGTAAGCTTATGAGCATATTTCTTCTTCTTAATATTCCCTTTAACAAACCTTCATAAGCACATGTTGAGACCATTCCTTCACAAAGAAGAAAATGACAATTTTCACAGAAATTTACCAGCCACGCAAACATTTGAAAACTCACTTAATGTTATGTTTGTACTCTCCTGTCAAGTCAGTTGATTTTTTTTAAATAAATGCAATTTTCAGTTAGAGACATTGCCATTGATTCAATGACTAGGAAACTTTAAATTGTTCATAGTGAACAGTTTGAATTTTCTTTCAAGTTTAACATTTTTTTGTGTTTTCTTCTCACAGAATTGAACGCCTCTGGCGTGATGTGTTCATGAGTGTTACGGGTGTCTTTTACAACACCCTGCACTCTCTTGAGGAACAACACCTGCTTGACATCAGTAACGTCCTGCACATCTTCTGCTGCCACTACGTTTTCTTGCCACGCATCCAAGCCAACCTGGATGTGTTCAGTGAGGCCTGGGCCAACCATCCCATCAGGACAGAGCAAAATCTGACACCCAATCAGTTGTGGCAGGTGGGCCAGCACCTGAATCCTGTTGCAGATCCTGAGCCTGAGGTAAATTATGAATTTTCAAAACCATCACTATCTCTTGTTTATTATCAATCAATAAAAACCCAAACAGTATAATAAGTTATCTGATTCATAAACTAACTCCCGTTCTTGGATTAAAAAAACCTCTGCTGGGAGCAAGCAAGAACACTTTTCTATAATATTACACTATTACCTTAACATTATTCCACAATCACTCCATTTTTTATTATTATAGAACAATTGCATACCCTCTTTATTTCGCCTGATCACATATTTTGTAATAAGAAGCAGTAATGGCACAGTGCTTGCTTTAATATTTGTACACTCACTTTGTCTTTTTTAGGGTTCACTCATACCAGAGATTCAATGGGAAGAGAGTGGATACACAAATGAGCATCATACCGGGGTCAATGTCCCTACGCTGAACTTCCCTCTCTCAGACCTTGAAATTATGCAACTGCAAGACAACATTGATCCATTGGAAGAATCTGAATGTTTCGGAGTGGACATATATCTCAATACTGTCCAATACATTGAGAATTTAATTGAGCACCGATAGTTGTTACATTTAACAACTATAGTATGATTTGTGTCATGATTTCAGTTATTTGGCAATGATGGAAAGTTAATCATTTTATATTTACATAGCTTATGCTTGATTAAGTTAATCTCAATTGCATGATTAGACATTTTTCTTTTGACTTATAAATTAATGGAAGTGTTTTTAGAGATGCATTTTCAGTCAGGATCAAAAACCGTTTCAGAGCAACAGAATTACATTCATTTTACACTCTGTACAAAATAAAAACATTGTAAAAGAACTATTTGGAGTGTAATGCTTTACTGTTCAAGGGATTGGGCATTGTTACGGCCCGTCCACACAGCGGCGTGCGTTGAAGCTTCCAACGCTTCTGCCCATTCACTTTGAATGGGGTGACGTCACTTTTAGCCGAACTGCATTTTGGAAAGCGACGTGGAGCGTTGCTCGCTTCAAAAGTTGAGCAATGTTCAACTTTTGGCGACTCGGCAGAAGCGTCAGCCAATGAAATCCCATTTATGCAAATCTGCCATTACAAGCGCTAGCCAATCAAACCGTGTGTATGCTGGGAGAGACTACGCAGGTCATTTCCTCATATTCAAAAAAATGGAGGGAAAATTCATTATTTTATATCCAGTTTACTTCGTTTTAACATTGCTATTGCTTTGTATGTCGGGGGCGGGAGATTCATGTGATTGGTTGTTGGTCGCAAAAAATCCCCAAGCTTCAGACACGCCCAACTCCAAGCGTCAACGCACGCTGCTGTGTGGACGCTCCGTTAAAGTGTAACAATGATAATGGACAAACAGTCTTTTTCCAAATGTCCTTTATTTATAAAACACGGTAGGTGTACCAACTGTAACCCTGTATCTCACACAGTGTATTGAATAGAGAGGCAAACCCTTCTCCAGAAAAATACAAAACAAACTGAGAGTCAGTGTGTAGCTACACAAGCCCAAAGCCTGAACTGATGGAACTGAGGGCCATCATCAAGTCCTGGTGGAACTTCTCATAAGTTTGGTAGTGGCTTGGGAGCTTCAATTTTAGGAAGCAGGTGAGAGCCACTGGGTATTTTGAAGTAACAACCTCAACTTCAAGGTTTGTTGTGAGCAGCTCCCACCCGACCCAGAACTTCAAGAGGTCACGCAGCACCTTCGGAGATGCTATGGGAGAGAATTTGTTATGTATGCGATACCTCAAATTGCATTATATCAAAACTTAAATTTGAGCAGTAAAACTTGCAGGAATATCAACGGTTAACCCATGCATAGATTTGTATTTGTACACCGATGTGTGTATATTATTTTTCATCAGAACTGCCATCTCTTCAGCTGCACTATAGCTTTAGTAGTCATTAATTAGTGTTACCTTCCTCTATGAATTGCCTCAAAAATCCAGTGACGAGACCGACTTTCTCCAATGGAACGGCGTCGTCCTCGTCCTCATCGCTGTCACTTTTGGGCTGTGGCCAGTGGATGTTCTGGATCACAGTCTATAGGGGATCAAATACAAACGTGTTCTTTGCTAAGATTGAAGCTCATGTTATATGCTACAGAATTATCTTAACATTGTAAAGCATTGATTTAAGATCTACACACCAGTTTAAGAGCCCCACAAATGAAATTGCATGATAGTGTTTGCAAACAAATCCCATGAATAACATAAATCCAATAAAGAAAATGGTACTTACCTGTGAGTTCAGCTCATCATTTTTCTCTCTTGGAAATAATATGGGGTGGACATCTGGCCTATTTGAAACAAGCGGCCAGATTCCCCTTTCTTTAAGGCCTTTGCGAATCTGCTTGATAGGCTGCCTAACACGGTGAAGTACCTACAAGTAAAAGGAACAATCAAACTGAGGCACTAATGGAAAAACACCACAGTAGCAGATACAGGAGGACTTACAAAGCAAACCTACTAATTACCTAAACATTGTATTGTATTGTTTAAATAAAAATGGTACAATATAAAATGATTACTGCATGGGAAAGAAGTTCCTGGAACAGCCAGTCATGATTGGTGGAGGTTGGAACAGGGAGGTCCCAGGACAGGCAAAGATCAGTCACACTGGTGGTTTCTTGAGCAGTAAGTTGTGTATTCTTGAGCTAAAACAGGAGAAAAGAGGACATCATTTAAATGCATGCAAAAGTGGACAAAAAGCCTAAATCTGGAAAAATCAAAATGGGACACAAAAAAGCATTGGAAATCATTTCTAGCTAAACAGCCCAGCCTTGACGCATGAATGGAATCTTTTTCATAATGCACAAGATGACAAGTGTATGTTAGCATTGTGGTGCAGTGGTGTATGACATGTCACTTTTTAACTAGGACACTCACAAAACCAATTGTTTCACTGATGCTGCAGTATCCGTGCTCCCACCAGTCAACAGAGTCACTACAGGCACACTTAGTCCTGAGAAACCAAAACCACCATGCGGGAAGGAATGGCCTATCATCCGACCTGCCATCTCAAACAGGTTGCTTTCCCGAAGCACAGCAGCTGCGGAGGGAACCCGATGTTCCATTTCGCCTTCAAAAAGGCTTGTAAGAGCTGCACAGCCTTAAGAGAAAAGGAGAAATAGTTTAGACACCATGTATTGCTATAACGTAATTTTTAGGTCAAGCTATATTGAGTGTTGGTTCAACTGTGAATATGCATGTTGTAATCTTTGTTGGTTTATTAAGATTTAGCTGCAAGTGGTTATTTCAATTGAAAGACAAATGGGGACATCCCACCTACATTTATACTGAAGCCGGTCTTCAGTTTCTGCATGGCCATTGACAAAACGTGTCGGTTGACACCTTGGCCGACTGCTGCATCCCCTTGAAAAGACGACCTCATTTAGAAAAGTACAACCAACAAGATGATATTCAACATACACTTACCAAGAGACAACATGAATCATCCTTCAAGCTTTCAATACAATAAATGTAACTAGTTCTTTCTTCCCTGGTCTAAGGGACATGAACTTAATCCTCAACATGCAAGTAAAAACAAACAAAAAGGCAAAATTCGACCCAGATGACAACCTATAATGAAACATGAGAAGTTACACTATTTATTAATACCTCTCAGCCTGCACTTCAATGGAGCTGCCCAGTTAACATTGTTCATTTTAAAGAATGAAATCAATGAACTGTCTGTTTCTTCTTCTGCGTCAAACAAGTCGATTGACAGAAAGAGGCGTGGACATTCATAGTTACGTTCCAGCAGTTCCTCTCTGAACAACTGACATGCCTTCCGGGGGTCCACTTCATTGGCCCATGCTGAAATGTAATTTGAAGGGAAAAAAAGTGGTTGGTACAATAAACTTCATAATATGTCAGCTTCAATTGTAAAATAGTACTTCATTTATTGTCTCATTTAGTAAGCCCTGTATTTTAAAGCAATATATTAAAAGGTAGTAACTTGAAATCAATTATCCTTTCCATATTACTGGATCAAACATGTAACAACATTCATTTTGGTGATCATTGATATTTAAGTGTTTGTGAGTAGTCACTGTTTCAAACTACACCACAGCAGTAATTGTTCTGAATAAATAACCTGCTGAAACTGTTGCTGGCAATCGTTGAACTGAAGGTCCTGGCATTTCCTCTGTCCTTGTCATACTGGCTGCATCGCTATGATGAGCAGGGTCCATTCTTGGAAAAGACAAAACAAAAAACATACTCACAGGAATGGAAAATAGAGACTAGTGAGCGCCCTTCTTTTTTTACATATTTCTTCTTGCATATCAAACAAAGTAATTTAAATCAGATCCCTAATAAGTATTTCGGCTCTGTTAAGATTTCTACATTTCCTAAAAATGCATTACATGCTCTGATGCAGCTGCTATAGCTGTAACATTACAGCATTTTAAAACACAAAAAAGGAACAAGCACATTCACCAAACGATATCGTTATTAGGTTTGACACTTTGTATATGTTGTTCACCTCTCTCAAAACATGTCTATCGTCCATCTTTTGCTTGAACAAGTCAAAACGTCTTACCCTTCACCACATGTGCTTGCATGAAATGAGAGGACATCAATTGGGTAAGATTCAAGACATATAGGGCAAACCTGTAAAAAACATAAACAAATGTCAATACCTTTAAAACATATCACATTATTATAAGAGGTTTTATGTTTAATAATTCTCTCTCAGATAAGTGATACAGGAAACATAATTCTATGATAAAAAAATGAGTACATAGACAGTGTGCAAAAAGTCTGTTTGGTGAAATGTGTTATACCCTACCTATATACACACCTGCAATCATGCTGTCATTATTTACTGAAAACAATAAGGCTTTTATACTAAATTGCAAAGTAACTTTAACAGGATCAGCATCAACTACCTCTGACAATTCTCCCATCCCTGTGTTAGGTGGATTTGGCTGCTCAATCACTTCATCAAGAGAAGTCCCAGATTCACTCTCCTAAAAAACTAAAAAGGTACAGAGAATTGGTTCTATAGACTTTGAAACAGTCATTTGAGCAAACTAAAACATTACATATTTATTTGAGAAATTAGAGAAACGTTTTAATAACAGCTTACAGTCAATATGTCATTACATTCCTCCACATGTAAAGGCAACAGCTGCAAAGGCATTTGACTGCCACATGTTATGCAGGTTGACTGTGGCATCTTTGCAAACTCTGCCGAGTCATAGGGTAGTGGTTCGGTAGAAAGTTGCTCCTGTAGTGGAATTACAAACACAATGTTTTTTCCGTTGTTGGACGCTGTTTTGAGGAGCCTTGTGGAGTACCCCTCGGAGTCAGTAGGAATTATGGACCGCTTTCGACGTCCACTACCACCTATTTTAAAATCTAAATATGAACAACACAAGTGTGCTTTAAAACCACCTGACAGTACATACATTAATATTAGGGATATACGTTACACTTTGTCAGGCAAACTTTAGTACTGTTTTATACAACTTGAAGAAGTGATATGAATGGTAATTCAAAGTAGGGCAACAGAAAACACATATGTGGGGCTTCTGAGTGTGAAAAACACAACACAGCATTTTCACCAATGGAGATGAGAACAATATTACCTGCTGACTTGAAAAACATCCAGCCTCCTTTTAATGTTTTCAGTTTTGGAAATTCTTCCTCAACCGAAGCCATAGTCTTTAAAACAAAGTGAAATAACATACAATATTCAGCAAGTGATTCACATTTTAAATCATTGAGAAATCTTTAATACTGTCTGTTTATATGATTACCTCACTGTGCAATAAGTTGTCCGGTAGATTTAGCATCCTCTTTCCAAGGCCAGCATAGGCAAGTGGTAGCTCTTCCGAGCCCTTAGGTGTAAACTGACTGGGTCCCGAAAGGACATATATGTGAAAGTCCGTCCGTTTGACGATGCAAGGAGCCGGGGTGGGAAATCGTCTTTTGCCTCTTGGCTGATCAGTACTGAACATACTTGGGAATTGCCTGATGTGGGAATGACAAAAGGATCTGTGAGACTAGACATTGTTATATCATTTGCAAATCATTGGCTTGCGTTGATGGTTTTGTTAACATAGGTTGAACAAATTGTATGAATAAAAAGCGAAATCATAGTTAATATTCTGTCGATACAAAAACAATCTTGACACTTAGCTTTATCTTACCAAAATATTTGTTTTGAAAACATTAATATATTGTGTTTGGGACGTTTCAAAGCAAGGGGTTGTTAAAGGTTTTAAAAGCAGTAATGGAGGATACATACTATGGACAAATGTTTTAAAACATTAACTCAACATTACATTAGAGCAGTGGTTCTCAAACTTTTTCGGTCAGGCCCCCCCTTTGGAGAAAAAAAAAAGTCGGGCCCCCCCAACACAAATAGTCAGGCTCAGTGGCGGCGCCAGAGATTTATTTTGGGGGTGCTGTGGGGTAGCTTGACCTTTCATAGAGCGTGCTCAAACATTTAGGGTTTCCCATTAATGTACCGGTCGCTACAGTGGAATTTTCTACTGCAACACTCCCCACGCACATACACTATGTACCCGCGACTGTTACAATGAAGGCTCGATATCAAGTCTCGGCATATAGGTGTAAGCAGGGGTAAAGTGCTATTTTTATAGGTGGTGTGTGGACCTCACATAGGGGGGTCCGGGGGCTTGCTCCCCCGGGAAGATTTTTAAATATTGAAGTTGAAAGCATCAATCTGGTGCACTTTGAGAGCAAAATGAAGAGATCTATGGATACATCTCTCAACACCCAGGTGAAACAGAATTGTAAACAGATTTACTATTTCTTTATGGATATTTTATAAATCACTCTTTTAAACTTTATTCTTGTTTTACTGTCATATAGTATTTCATAGCTGTTTTTCATGTATTCTCTTATTTTTTTATAACTATAATGATCATATAAACGTGTGCCTCGGAAATAATTGTTTACATTAATGATGACCAAAACGTTTGAGACCCACTGAGATAACACTGAGAGTCCTTTAGCTCACTGAGACTCTCAGTCTGACAGGAGAGGACTCTCCTCCACTTTGTTGTTAAAACAACTCCTTATATCCGTTAGCGTAGCTCGCTAGCACCAGAAGCTAACATCAACGATCTCCGGTACCGGTGCGCTATCTCTCTCTCTCGCTCACGCACGCACACAAAATGGCTCGTTCCACACACACACACACACACACACACACACACACACACACACACACACACACACACACACACACACACACACACACACACACACACACACACACACACACACACACACACACACACACACACACAGAGCCGAGCTTTAATGAAACACAGAGACCCAGACGTAATAGTACTGTATCATATTATTTTCGAATCAATAATTTTTCAAAATATGATTTTTTTTTTTTTTTTATAATCTTTTTTTTTTTTTAATAACCATTTTTCCTCCTGGTCTCTCGCGCCCCCCTGTCATGCCTCTGCGAGGCCACAGTTTGATCTTGAACTGTCAAATGTAAAAAAAAGTCTATTAAATCACCTTCTCATCGCCTGCCTCACCCTGACATCATTGTGGGATTGGACGCTGTCTAGCGCCCTGACTGCTACGCTGACCGGTGCACTCTCTGCTATGCTCACTTCTGGTGGAGTTGGAGTCGCAGACAACTCCCTGGCTATTAATTGAACTAAAGCCCGTGCTGCTACCTCGACCCGAGGCGTTACACCCTGTCGAACAGTCAATTAATTTTCTCTCACATTCACTTCACTGCAACATTTTACTTGGTAGCAGAAGCACATCATAAGAATGGGGGATCGTTAGACCGTTAGACAGACAACGCTAGTTAATGTTAGCTTATGGAGCTCAGCTACTACAACACAGCTAACCGAAACAGTTCTATATAATTCTCGAATTAAACAACTAACAACTAAGCAAAACCAATCCTTCATAATTTAGGAGTATTTCATAATTTAAACATAATTTACACTTGGAGCGGGAGGCGCGCGACCACCAGACGCCATTTTAAAGATGACCTCTGACCTATCAGCTCCGGAGTCCGGACTGCGCAAAATGCGTAAATGAAGTGCTACGTCACGAACGCAAGAAATCCTACCCACGTGGGGGCGCGCTCATGTGATTGGCTTAGACTGGAGGAGACATCTGATTGGCTATAGATGAGAGAAATTACAAGTACGAATCGGGTGACCGTCAGGGGAGTCTCAAAAAACCCACACACGAATGCACAGCGATCCGTGCACAGAAAGCTGTTTGTGTTTGAAGGTGCAGCGGTTTTAAACGGAAAACTAATATGTGTGGATCAAAAATACACATGTAAAACTTTTTTCTGTGTTTGGATTTTATTTACATGCATATGAAACGGAACACATTTGTGTATGCATTGAAAAACACAAGTGTGGATCCGGAAATACAAGTTTGAATCCTTTTGCGGATCATGAAATACAAGTGTGAATCCTTCTGTGTGCATGTGTGTATTATGAGACTGTTCTGAGCCCATAAGAATCCTCCATGATGTTTCCAATGGATCCAAGGTAGGACTTCAGCAGGTGAAATCCACCCAACCTCGGAATGATAGGTAGATTTGTCTGTTTTATAATGTCCACAGCCTTCAGCCAGATCGGAAGATCGAATGTCACTATAGTGACTCTGTCTGCAGAGAGTCGCGTGCAGGGTGGGAATTTCACGACGGCCACGACGGCCATGGCCGTCGTTGCCCCGCACTTTGGCCGTGATGCCCTGTGAAAAAAAATGCAATTCACGGCCAAAGTGGCCTTTGTGCCCCTGTCAAAAGTTCCAGTGTAAACAACGCTAGTGAAGTCATACTAGTGCGCGCAGTAGGATAGTCCCGTGCCTGTGGATCAGAGCGATTGCTCTGCTGTGATTGTTCCGTCAGACATGCCGTGTAAACAACGCTAGTGAAGTCATATTAGTGCGCGCAGTAGGATAGTCCCGTGCCTGTGGATCAGAGCGATTGCTCTGCTGTGATTGTTCCATCAGAAATGCCTGTAGGGGCCCGACAGCCTCCTCCTCAGCCGCGGGAGCAAGACAAGCACAGGTAAGCAAGCGGACCAAGCTGTTTTGATATGATTTAACTGAAGTATGTGGTAGTATTTGAAAGGACTTAACATTTACGTGTTTATAGAAAGTACTATTGATAGGTAATTACCATTGTATTAGCCTATTTAAAGTCGACTCGTTACATTTTGTCATGAAAACTAGCAATAGCTAGCTAGTTTGGATAGCGCTAACGTCTTCCCTTCAAGGGGTCTACATCTAGTGTTGCTTCTACAAGCTAGCAGATAGCTGTCACCTTTGAATCTAGTATTTTTCTTGCTAAGCGGTTTTGATATAATACATGACTGACTTATGTGGTTTATGGCTGAACTTAACGTATACCTTTAAGAAACACTATTGCTATTCAGCCATTTGTAAAACGACTGGTGTTGACGTTAGTGCTACACTTTTCAGTCATGTTGATTGACCAGCGTAATTTAACCAAACGGCCTTTGTGCCCTGTCATGTGGCCTGTGTGCCCTTAAAAAAAATGTGAATGGGAAGGCCAAATGGCCTTGCCCCTAAAATGATGAAATTCCAAGCCTGGCGTGCACTCTTTGAGAGTGGTGAAGATGGTGTTGAGGTCATTAGGGTCACCTTCAATGATTGGGAGGAAGTCGATCTGTGTGCGCTGCTTGACATCATCTGCATGGATACTCTTCATCCAGCCATTCCAGTTGGAGTGTGGGAACTCAGGATCCTGGGCTTTGATCACTCACCCTGCTGCCCAGAGTGTATCGCCCGGAGTGAGGAGTAGCTGGTCTTGTGTCACAGAAGAGGCAAGCTCAGTAATGGGAAGAAATGTGATGGTGTTTATCCCTGTCCTTGTTCTGTTGGTGAATGGAAGAATCTTCACTTCAGCTCCTCTGAGGATCTTAGCTTTGTCAAGTGCCTTCAACTTCACTCTGTGGACAGCTGCTGTCGTCTGGGGATCTGGCAAAGATGGTGCCGGAGAGGTGACTTTGATCCAACCCATTGAATGGAAAGGAGTGTTTCCCTGAATAGAGACAATGTTTAAATCTATATTGTCTCCGACAAACTGAGTGAATACATTGGTTGTTTCTCCAACCTCCATGGCCTCCATGACCACCCGATTGTCATGGCTAGTTTCACTTCCACTGGCTGTCATAAATGATAGATCCTCAAGTGCAGAGTCAACCGCAACCTCATCATCGATCTGCTCATCAGTTTCTTCCACAATGGTATAAAGAGTATCAGAAGTATCTTGGATGCCATCTCCATTCCTGTCATTAAGGAAGCAGTATTTGTAGTTTTGTGTCTCGGAATATGACTCTGTGTATCCAAGCTGGTGTAACTTGTTCAGCATCCATTTTAACCCAAATCTATGATCAAGTTGTATGGCAAGCCCCATCTGGTATGGCAAAACTCCTGATCGAGGCCGACAGGCCTTTATGAAGTTCTGCCCCCAAATGGCTACTCTTTCGTCGGTCTTCACTATTGGCTTCAGGAACATCTGAAGACTCTCAGGAACAAGAGCCAGCTGACTCTGGATGTCAGTCATACTGTGTGCTGTGGGGTATGACTTTGGGTCTAGATCGACCATGGCGATGTCGTTGCATACGAACTTTAGTGCAGTCTTTATGATCTGAGTCTTCTCATCTCCATGCTCAAGATTAGCATGATGCTCTCGCAGAATGTTGTCTGTGTCATCTTTGAGGCAGAGCACATCTGCCCTTCTCTCCTGTGATGTGAAATACAAGGTGTCATGGAATTTATCTTGGAGTTTCTTCTTTAGCCAATACTTTGAATAAGAAAGGCTCTTATCTGGTGACGGATCAAACTGCTGTAGCTTTTCGTGGACTTGGTCAAGAGTCATCACCCCATGCTCGAGTTCTGAGTCTAACCAATCACAGAATTCAACAAAAACAGCCTCTCGTTCCTCATCAATTTTATTTTGTCCTCTCTTCCTTTGTCCTCTATCTTCAGTCTTGGAGTAATGGCCACCTGTCTCAAAAAGAGTTTTGTAGCGCAAATGGTACAGGGTTTCTTCTGCCACAAGGTCATTGATCCCTTCCAGACGTCCAACAACTTCAGTGCCCCAGTCATCCCCGCGACTCTGTGCTGTCTTCCGAAAGCTTGCCTTCAGTCTATCTGCAGTCAAATTATCTGGCACTCTGTATCTCTTTCTAGCTTCCTCTGGACGAGTTTTGTAGATCTGTGCAGGTTGGTTGCAAAGAATGCATACATTCTTGTACAGAAGCTGAACAGACCGTGAACTTGTAGAACTGCATGCAGAAGCTGCACTGAAGTCAGAGCAAGTGCGTCTTCTCTTCTTCTTAGCTGCCTCTTTCTCTGCCTTAATGTTTGGCCTGAGTTCTTGGTGACTTCAAGAAACCTGTTGTATAAATCATCTTTACACTTGTTGTGGTACCTGAGTCTTCCTATGTTCTGAGCCTCCTTCAAACGCTCCAAAATCTTAGCATTTTCAACTACTTGTGCTTGTTCCAAAAAAGTAGGGTAGCCTTTAGGAGTTGGCTGTATCAGCCTCTGAGCTGGTGTCTCCGGGCTTTCACAGATGAAACCATTTAGCAAAGGTGGAGTCGAGTCTTCATCAATACTGCTAGACTAATATGTCCTTCAAAGTAGAATAAACATTGTATTATTCAGTCATAATATCATTATTTTGTGACATTAAAGACAATCTCATGTACAGTAGATGATTAACATTGTAATAGATATTATTGCAAAGGAAAATAGAAGATCTGCTTCACAGTAACGTTAAACACAAAAGATCCTGTCAGAGACAATACACCACTGTAACCTAATGGGCCAGAAAGCTAGCATTCAAGAAAATAAAATGATCATAAGATTCAGTTTGAGGTGTGTAATACATCATGGTAGTTGCCTAGTTGGATACAATCATGGAGTAATACATCATGGATTTAACGTTAGCAAGCTAACCATGTTGCTGTGCCTACTGTTACACAGCTAACAAGTAAGCAAAGTTGACAACTAATCATGGAGTAATACATCATGGATTTAACGTTAGCTAGCTAACCATGTTATTGCGCCTACTGTTACACAGCTAACAAGTAAGAAAAGTTGACAACTTGTACAGTATGTTACATTTCATTACCAAAGTAGTGACATGAAATATTTCAAGTTAAAAATGTAGATAATACTTACATATCAGGCGTAAAAAGCAGTCTGTCCATGATCAAATGAAGGTTGAAAATGGCTTCAGCATGTTAACTCTAAACATCCTCACTCTGAATGCCAACCAACTAGCAGCTACCACTAAACAATAAGTCCTAAAAGGGCAAATAGTAAAATAATCAAACAATTTTTATGCTAGCAGTGGAAAGGCATTATGGGGGGTGGGGCGAGCGGGAAAGGTGGGCGTGGCCGTTTTTCCACAAAGGAATGATTTTAGTGAAAAATAAATGATTACAATCAACTCAGAATCATGAAAAACCCCTAGTTTGACCCCTCACAAGTTACCCAAGGCCAAACTGAACATTTTAGATTTTTCGAAAATCGGTATCTCAACTTTGAGCAGTTGTTACGAAAAAACATACAGGATTTGAACTTCAACTTTTTAATACATCTTACTACACACCTTTACAAAGACATTAGTGAAGAAATTGATTGGTAAGGATTTAGTTTGCAGATCGGTCAAATATCTGATAAAATGCCCTTACTCTCCCCCTGTCGGCCCTAAAAGCTTCAGAGGGCGGATAGCTGGGCTCCGCGCATCCCACTAGCTTAGCGCTAGCTAAAAGTAAACATAGATGGGTACATAGAATATGAATAAATCGTCACCGATGTAGAGGATATATTTTTTTATTCACTTTGAACTCGGCCAAATGGAGTTTAATGCTTTGGGATTTAAGTTAGGCCACATAGTAGCCTACGTGCATGGGTTTGAAAGTATAACGTGCTCGCCTGCTGTCAGACACACATTTATGAGATTTAACAATGGCCAATTATATTTCTTAAATAATATGTAGCCTATTCCCAGAGCATAATTTATGGGGCAACAAGGTGAGGTGTAAAATGTGTTTTAATATCATACATTTTACGCCAGCAAACTTCTTGTAGACTTCGGCAGTAGTGAAGACTCACTGAACGAATTAAGTACAAAGACGAATCGTTCGCGAACGTGCAAATCACCAGAAGTCGCGAACCGGTGAACGAAACAGTGAACGAATCTTTAAAGTGAACTGAATCAAAATATTCGTGTCCCCGAAGGGAATCTAAATGCCCATCACTAGCTCCTAGGGTCCGAGCGGTGAACACCGCAGACCCTCCCTTGGGAGGACGGACATCTAGCTCGTCGCAGCCTTTGGAGGGCGAGCGTTTTCCTAGCCCGCAGCTCCGATCGAGACGATCACAAGGCTACAGGCTACATGAGCTAGAATCTTAATTCTCAATAAGCTAGCTTGGCTTCTACTCAAAAAGTAGTAACCTGCGCGAGACGGAAGATATCCAGTGCTAAAGCACCGCCTCTGACGGTCAGTAAAGATGAAATAGAACCATATGTGTTCTTTTATAGTTTTGATGTCTTCAGTGTAAATCTACAATGTAGAAAACATTTAAATAAATAAAAAACTTCGAATGAGAAGGTGTCCAAACTTTTGACTGGTAGTGTATATGTAAAAAAACATCAGAACAAAAGACAGTATAGGATTTTGAAAAAAGTATAGTATGGTATGTCCAAAAATCAGAGCAAATGACAACGTTTTTATGTAAAAAAAAAAATCCTAGTTTAGTATGTTAAAAATGTATTTGAAAACAACATTGTATAATATGTGGAAAAATGAGAAAAAACATAGTATGTATGTCGAAAAAAAAGCAATATGACAGTATGTCAAATATAACGACATAATATAGAATGTCGAAAAAAGAGAAAAAACTACACAGTACATTATGTATGTAGTTACAGTATGTTGGAAACTTGTGTCGAGAACTTACTTTTATTATATTATACTATTATATTATACAAACTTCACATTTTAGATAAGGGTCCATCCCTTATATAAAATGTTTACTTTTTTGATAATGTTCCCCCCTTGTGTCTATAACTAGGTTTTATGATAAGAGGATAATAGTCTTATATACAAATACTTTTTTTTTTAGATAAGGGTCACCCCTTAATTCCGGAACTAACTTTGTAGATAAGGATCCCCCGTATATAAATTATACTTTTTTTGATAAGGGTTAGCTACGGAGCCCTGGAGGGTTCATAGAGAGAAAAATAAATAAAACGTGGCCACGCTTTAGTAACTCGTGCGCACGCTTTAGTAACTCGTGCGCACGAGTTACTAAAGCGTGCGCACGAGTTACTAAAGCGTGCGCACGAGTTACTAAAGCGTGCGCACGAGTTACTAAAGCGTGCGCACGAGTTAATAAAGCGTGGCCTCGTTTTATTTAAATTGAGGGATTCCTGTCCGTGACTCACAGTATCTGCTGCCCACAGCTGTTTTATAGAAGGAAAACCTCCTTCACTTTATGAAATCTCAGCGGCACCAGTGGCCTGTACTACGAAGCAGGATTTGCTATTTACACTATTCATTCATGAAGTATGACGCTGCGCTGTCAGCATGCGTCTCCATGTTTGTGATTGGTCAAATGTTGCTAACCCCGTCCCTTTCACATGAACGCGCTCTCAGCCGGGCAGAGAAACCCTGGTTGATTTACTGAGTTGATAACCAGCTTCGTAGGACCGCTTATCGACATCGCGTTTGTTAGGGTCAGTTAAGCCGGGTAAATCGAACATATCCAGGTCCAGGGTCTGTTGAACTGGCTTCGTCGTACAGGGCACTGGAGGCAGTAACGTGTAACTCAGCAGAATCTGAGAAGAGCAGCACCAGCTGCAAAGAGCTGTGCCTTTTACTGTTTACTTCACTGCGTTTCCCTTCATTAGAACCGCTGAATAGAGATCGAGGCTGCTACGTTTAACCACACACACCTATACACACATCGAACTACCAGAGTATTCTCCCTCGTTTTATGAAGGAGATGTCCTGTCACCGGGGCGCATGATGTGTGTGTGCTCAGCTCCGCTCTGGGTGCGTGTTCGTGTGTATCCGACACCACCGGCATTTGTTTTCAAATTACCATGAACAGTAGGCTACTTTACACAAATCTGGTTCCCCATAGTTAAGTGTATTCCCAAGTGAAAGAAATTTGTTTAATCTTAATCTCGATGTGCTATAGTCCTGCCGGAGTGCACCGGAACGAACGATACTATCATAAACAAATGCCCCCACACACAAACACACAAAACGAGGCCACGCTTTATTAACTCGTGCGCACGCTTTAGTAACTTGTGCGCACGCTTTAGTAACTCGTGCGCACGAGAAAGTAAAACGTGGCCACGTTTTATTTATTTTTCTCTCTATGAACCCTCCAGGGCTCCGTAGTTAGCCCCTTATGTCCGGTATCATGTTTTAATAAGGGTCCCCCCTTATATAAAATGTACCTTTTTCAGATTTCTCGACATATACTATTTAGTTAAAATATTTTCGACACGTCTTTTTTCTCGTATTTTCGATATAGTATGTCGAAAATATGATATACTAAATAGTATAGTAGTAAAAACGACAGTCTAGTATGTCATCAATGAGAAAAAACGACATAGTATAGCAAAACGAAAAATATGAAAACAACCACATTTGCGTCGTGTTTGAAGTGTTCTTGAGTAAATATTGCTTGGGTTCAATCTGTGTGTGCGTCACACTTTTTACAATTAAAGCAACTCGGCAAAACACGAAAAATACTTCTTCGCATTTATTCAGTGAATAGTTGTTGGTCTCTGTTAGGGATTAATTTTGTCTTTACTTAAGATATTTGACCTTTCGGCCTGTTGACGTTTTACGACCGAACCCTAAGTCTGTTATCTGTCTTAAGGAATGGGAAGCCTCAGCTATTGCTGACATTACCAGTTTTATGACCAACTCTCGGTCACAGAGCCATAGTCAGATAAGTGATTCAGTGTCTCCAGGTGTTCACGGATACCTTCCCCCAATATGCTGATTAGCTCTCTGTAAACTAGTTAAAGGTCTATTCGAGAGATAGGCTGGGCAGAATTGACATGACAACCCACCCGTGCAGTCAGAACTTTTTGCTGCTGTGACTTGTGATATGAATTCTCCGGCCGATGCTTGTAATAAACTACCAGTGTTTGACATCAGAACTCCTGCTCGTCCTGTGTCTCTTTCATGAGTCGGTGACTCCCACTGCATTGCTACACAGAAGTTTCCCTTAGTCTCTTTCATGCCAGATTCCATCCTCTGTATTTTTACACCACTGATAATTATAAATGCATAATTATAATATCCAGAGTTGTATTTCTATCTAAAGAAATGTCATAACGGAAACATATACAATTGATAATCTAAGACAATGCCTTTTAAAATTGTAATCAAGTCCCATGTTGCGAGGAAGAGTTCCATGAATGTGATGCCTCAACATATACATTTTCAGTAATCAGAATTTATTGTGAGGAAAGAGATACAGGGACTGATGAAAATGATGGTTCTGTAAGAGGTTTATTTTTCTCCATATATTTTACAAATAGAAGCACACATTTTCATAGACTCTGGACGACACGTCTGAAGTTCTTTGAAGAGCTATAGGTAATGGGAACGAAGATCCTGCCCGTTTATCTGCAAAGAAAGAAATTGAAGTAAGAACACAAACAGCAAGAACTCAGCTAGGGGAACTCGGAGGGATACTAAAAACCACACTACCGTCTAGACTATTTCTAATGTTTTCTGAGCACCCTTCTACATGAGAAGCTGTTCACACTCGCCAACTAGTAATGCTTACTTTACAGCCTACAATGTAACCTCCGCTTTTAACACATCAGTTCCTTAGTTGAGCAAAGGGTTAGAAGACGGATGACAACAGGTTTATTATTACCATTAGGTTGTGAAAAGTTAGAGTGGTGGAAAAAGTGTTGAGTCACTGAGGTGAAATCTGCAAATGTAAAAGAGAAAATGTACTTACAGAGCGGCAGCTCCAGAGATAATCTCGATGAGCTCCTTGGTGATGACCGCTTGTCGGGTACGGTTGAAGGTGAGGGTCAGCTTGTCAATCATCTCAGCTGAAAGGAGAGAAAAACGTCCATCACATCAAAATATAAAACTTTATTGTGAAAGAGTGAAATCATAAAGCATAACTCAGTACTGAACACTCGTTTCAAACAAGCAGGACAAGATGTGAAAAGTCATGACCGTGACAATATATAGGTCCAAAACCCTGTTTCCTACAGTTAAAAGAATAAAAAGGATTACATTAAAACAGAATTAGGGAAATGTGGCCTAATATTCTGGTTCCGGCATCTGAAACGAGTGTATTTGCTTGTTTTCTTTGCCAGACATCATTGTAAAGATTTTACAGCACAAAGATGACCAAATATAACAAGACAGAGGAAGTGAAATCTCACTGGCGTTCTTGCTGGCGCTGTCCATGGCGGTCATCCTGGCGCTCTGCTCGGCGGTGGTGGATTCCTTCATGGCCATGTAGATGATGTTGACCATGGCAAACTCCTGGTAGTTCCTCAGCACGTCAGCATCAATGTCATCATAGACGCTCATGCTCTCTGTGGGAGGAAGGAACACACACCAGGGTATATGCAGGAATCCTGAAGTCAAATGTAATACCTTTTAAGACCTTTTTTAAGACCCTTTCCATACATTTTAAGACCTCATCGCAACTTCGACTTCTAACCGGTTACATTGGCGATACACTTTACCTCACATTTACTATATTGATTGTAAGATAGCACAACTAAACAGAGTGCAGACAGACTACTGAAGCCTCCTCTCCACATGAACTTCAACCTCTCTGTGAAGGTCAGGTTTAATGCAGTATGCTGCTTTGTTGCTTCTGTACTCTTTCATTCCAGTAAAACTCTTCAGAAACCAGTATTTGACCAATAAACAAAACAATTGACAAAACTTTGAACTATGAAATATACTAAACTTTGGTGAGCTTCAGCGGGGCAATGCCATATATGAGCTCCCTCAATACCCAGGGGTTAAATTGGGCTGGGGACTGTCCGGGGCTAAGCCCGGCACATAGGACGATGCTCTGACGTCATCACCCTCACACATTTGTCATATGTTTACAAAAAACAATATATATGTTAAGACTTTTCTCGTTCTTAATATAGACTATATGTGTTGACCTTACTTTAAAATAGCAGATCTCTGTGACCGGATATAGTTTGGCTTAGACCCCGGCCCCACGAGGACGCATACAGTAAAACGCATACGCAAACGCAAAAAAGTCTTCCGTTCACACGCATTGGATTCATTAACGTGTCCGTTCACACTAGACCGCTGAAAATGCTGTAGTACATATGCCAGGCCTGTAAGTGGCGCTGCTGCTGCCACAAAATACACCAAATGCAGCGAAGAAGACCCCGGAGCATGGTTGTCATGGTTGCCCTTCTGTTTATTCTCCGCGGTGGACGGCGTGTTCTCCTGCTGTGTATATCTCTCAGGTAGTCCACCAGCAGACTACCCGACATGTTGTTTCAGTAAATTAAAGGGTGTTTCATGTTGTCGTTGCTGTGGACCTTCTTAATACCTTGGAAAATGCCGTTTAATACTTTTTTTAATAGCCTTAATTTTCGCTAAATTGATTTATCAAGTTTTAATACTTTTTAAGACCCCGCGGACACCCTGACACACGTTCAGGATATATCTGTAGGAGACACTTGAGGATCTCTGCATACCGTTTGATAAATATAGTATGTTCAAGTTTATCAGAAATATTGTTTAAAAAAAAGTCATAGTTTAGAATTACGAAGAGCGTCATAGTATGTCAGGAAATATGAAAAGGTCATAGTAAAGTATATCAAAGTATTGTGAAATAGTCTTAATATAACAAGTAAAAAATTTCATGGACAGTATGTTTGTAATATTCTACACACAAAAAAAACAGTATAGTATAATGACAAATATTGTGTAAAAACTCCTAGTATGTCAGAAAAAGAAAAAAAAAGACATTGTATAGTATGTGGACATTTAAAAAAAATTTTTTATAGTATTGTATTGTCATAGTATTGCATGTCAAAAAATATATAAATGTCATATTAAAGAGGGTCGAAATATAAATGTGGCGGATGTCATTGTATCATGTCTAAAGAAATATAAAAGCCATCGTAAAGTCATAGTAAAAAATGAAAATAAACTTTACCTGCATTACCAACAGTTTCTGGGGGAAACAGAGGCTTCGACTCAGTCTTGTATGAGATAACAGACCTGCATCAGAGAAATTGGGAGATTTAATCTATCAACATAATACAGTATTTTAAAACAAGTCGAACTCTGCTTGCTCATCTCTAAACGTTTCTTTACACAAATCCAAATAAAGAAAAAACGTTTTTTAAAAAAAAGGTGTGCATCGTACTTGAATCGGTTGAAGACGACAGAGGCCTTGTCAAATTCGTATCCCAGGTTGAGCACCTCGGTGGCGACCACTGCGGCGTCGCCAAAGCTGGGGGGCTTGCGGCCGACCTCCTTGCAGCTCAGCAGGATGTGCTTTCCATGAGTTCTGATGAGGAACAACAGGTATTATTTGCACAATAAAACAATCGTTACTTGATCTACATTTTTGATTTTCTGCTAAATATGAATTGGTAAAAGATCCATGAAGGTTTGAACCATTCTTAATCGTTTCATTCCCATTACCACATGTTAAAGTGGCACTAGAGAACTTCTTTGCTTTAATGTATAATATTTGTTGATTGCACTGTGTAATGTCTAAAGAAAGATACAACTTTTAGCATTGTTATTCATAAGCCATTCATTCGACATAAACCTCACTTGACAATGCAAAGGTCTGCCACAAGGTTGCGTAGTCTCAGTTACCAGCTAATGCTGTTTTTCTGCCTTTTAAATAAGGAGATGTTATGCTTCTTTGTGTTATTTTATAGTTAAGTAAATATATTTGTTTTTAAAGCTTCAAATTAAGACACCACCTTGGACTTTGAGAAACTAGGGTGGAAATATAGCACTATTTTCTAACATTTTATTTGCAAACGACCTAATTTCGATGTAGTGAAACTGAGCCATTTATCGTTTCACCCAAGCAATTAAAAGTTCAAAAATGAACTTTGATATAAACTGTAACATAAGAACAAATGGAAATGTATACTTTTAAAGTGTCCATTAAAAACATTTGACAGGGAAGCAACAGTTCTTCTTATTTTCCATTATCTTTGCAACATTCTGAACCATCAAAGCCTGAGCCTCCAGCTCAATATCACCAATTTCTTGCTGCTGGTAAACAAAGTAATTGGCTAAATATCTGCTCAGAAATTCCCAACACCGGACATGACTTGTGTTTTTCATCAATGTAATAAATGAATGAACATTTCCATTGGTACCTTTTCAGCAGGGCTCTCAGCTTGTCTCCCACGTTGATCACCATTACCTCCGTGCCAGGGCCGGAAAGGGCGATCTGGCTCTTGATGTTCCTGCCCACGTTAGAGTGGACGGCGCCGCAGAGTCCACGGTCAGAACTCACACCAATGATCAGATGCTTGTTGACCTTCTCTTCGGCTACTTGGATGTCGTTCTTCTCGTAAAGGGCTGGGGAGCAGAGAGGATATTTAATCCAGGGATATAGATGAGTTAAATCCTAATCATGAGGAGTTTAAAATAACACTAAGGAGGCCAGGTGTAACGTACCCAGAGCACCAGCACCGTAGACCCTGGATGGCTTCAGCGCCCTCTCAGCACGAGCATACTTGGCAGCGGCCACCATCTTCATGGACTTGGTGATTTTCTGGATGTTCTTGATGGACTTCAACCGAATGGTGACTAGAGAATAGAGGATACAAGTGTCAGACTAACACATATTTACTTTTTTTTTTATAAAAAGGTACTTAAACATACCAACTATTTCAGACAGTTGAAGCTTTAAATCATCACATTTAATTACATTTAAAAAATGTAAAATGCATTTATATAGCCCATTTCTAACATCACAATATACATTTGTCTCTAAAAAAAAAAGTGCTTTCAAAGTTTCTAAAGATAAAACATTAATGAATTAAATAAATAAAAAAACGACATGGACACTCCATCAACACAATTATGTGAATATATAATACAAGTTTATAGAATACATTTATGCAAAGTGCAAATAATGTATAAAGTCACATTATTTATTATACCCGCTGCTTATATGACCTTAGACTGAAAGACACAAAAATACAAGAAAGTTTCATTTCAAATATATATTTTGTTGTTGTTGTTGAACACAGTCAATATTTAGTGAATCACTAGTATTTGGTAAACAATTTAGCATGTTCTAGTTGTTTAATGTTTGCAATATACAAGTTGTGCTCCAGGTGCCTGCACAATAACCTTCAACCAAAATAGACCGCAGTGGGCATCGTCTTGTAATGATCCTCTTAGCTTGAAAGTCAATATAATGCATGTGAAGCATTTCATTTGTCAAATAAAATATATGAATACAGCGTTTGGCATGTCGTGTCTTACAGCCAATGGGCGAACCCATGTAAATAATTGTAAAATTAGAGAATAGAAATGGTCATTTCCAGTATAGCGTGGCCTAGATTATTCCTATTCTGCATCAGGCGTGTTATCATTAGGAGATTATAGTGTGTAACATGTTATTTAGCTGTTGTCTTTACATATTTACAGGAGTAGTTTACTAAAGTACTTACTGTCCTTCAAGGTAGCCATGTTCCTGACCTGCCCACTGTGAACAGAACAAGTGTATTTAAGCTGTTGCTGCAAGCATTGTCAACATCATTAATAACAACATACATACAAAGAGTAACTTTTATCATGTTATCATAGATTGATTCAAACTGAAACGTTTAGGACATTTATTTGGCTGCTTGCTAACGCTGCAAGTGTGCTAGCAGTGGTTAGCTTGGATTCGATGCACTAATAAGCTTAGATAGTAAACACTTAAGCTGAGACTGTGTCTCACATGTAGGAAATAAACATTTCTGAGAAATGTATGTGTGAAACGCTAACTCGTTGCAAGTTTCTGGCACAATGTCGGAATGTTTAAACTAGTAAATGTCAGCTTAGCTAGCATTAGCTTGTTTGAACTGTGCAGCACACCACTGTCATTCATTAGCTGCGGCCTCCACGTTAGCATGTCCTTGCATTCAAAAACTGCATTTATCACAGACTTGAAGTTTCACAATTCCTCTAATCACACATCACATGTAGAACATACAATGCACATAGCATCAAATACTGATGTGAAATTGTTTAAACAGCTTTGACATTACCATTGTGGGGAGAACACCAACGCGCTGGTCCTTGCGAACATGGTTACTGCTATGAAGGTCAGACACACAGAACTGCGCAAGCGTAAACTGAAGGTAAAATGGAAGAATGATGCCTTCAAGGACTGCCAGCAACATCCGGTAGAATGCCTTCTACACCTATTTTTAGAGATGGAAGAAGTATTTGGATAACTTGCTTAAAATAGAAGAATAAAAGTAACAATGCGACAGTGTAGAATAGTTATATGGTAGAGAGTACAAATAATAATTAATCGAATCATAAGGGTGCATACAAAGTATCGATCTGTAAAAGAACAAGAAATCAAATGTGCAATAAATACATTTATATATACACAGAAAAGTATTTACAAAGAAATGTGAAACAACTATTGAAATGTCTTATTATTATTATGATAATATATCCCTAATCATTGTGTTTTCCTCTAATCATGTATATCCAAATTGTGATTATTGTTGCATTATTGTGTCCATCAATTTACAGTTGCAATTGGTAAAGGTGGGTCTCAGTTTAATTGCTATATTAACTGCTGTGAATCTATAACAACACACCATCATTTACTATTTGATTTATATTTTGTATTTATTATCTAAATTGGCAAAGTAACCAAATTACAGAAGTGGTGTGAAAAGTACGACAGTTCACGTTGAGATGCAGTGGAGTCTAAGTAGTCCCTGAACGCAGCTTCAGTTATCGCGTGATTTCAGCGTTAAACGACAGGTTATGACGGTAACACGCGGAAACTGTTTACGTTAGCGGCTAGTGGTTGTCGATAATTTAGCCACGGTTTGTCCGTTTTAGCGTTATTAATCGACAATTAGCGGGTGTTTTATGGTTAGTATTGCTGCTCAGAATGGGGAAAGCGGATTTTCTCTCCCCGAAGGCGATAGGCAACCGGATAAAATCCAAAGGTCTCCAAAAGTTGAGATGGTATTGCCAGATGTGTCAGAAACAATGCCGAGATGAGGTAAAACACCGTGCTTTTAGTGTAATATTTAGAAGTTATTTCAACATATTCAACCTATTTTGTATTTCATTCGTTCCAGAATGGCTTCAAATGCCACTGCATGTCCGAGTCCCACCAGAGGCAGCTTCTGCTGGCCTCAGAAGACCCAAACAAATTCATGGACTACTTCTCCGAGTAAGTTATTTTGAATGTAAATGTAGCATGTTAATGTTGTTCTTCATATGGTTGGAGTTAACTCCTGCTTCCTCTCTTCGCAGTGAGTTCAAAAACGAATTCCTGGAGCTGTTAAGGAGACGTTTTGGTGAGTCCTGAATCCACTCAGACTATCCAGAAGTTTGGAACTTTTTACTGTAAGAAAACTGATCACATTTGTTCTGTTTTAGGAACCAAGCGAGTGCACAACAACATAATCTACAATGAATACATCAACGACAGAGAGCACGTCCACATGAACTCCACACAGTGGGAGACTCTCACTGACTTCACCAAGTGGGTGGGCAGAGAAGGTAAACTCTCCTGAAATGTGGTTCAACATGCACAGACACAAATCACAAACATTTATGAAGGAAACGTTCCCTTTCAGACAAAAAGATCTACAACAAGTTTCATAATTACAGAGCAGAACGAACTGAGAGTGGAATAACTACTTACTTTTATGTTAGCACCACAATACCAAATCAAATTCCTCGTTTTGTGCTACTATTTTGCATCGTTTAACACTATTTTGATGTCAAAATCTGTCCATAGACCGAAATGTAAACACACGGCACAAGTATTCAAAACCAGTAGTCTTTTTTTCAAGATAACACATTACAAGATGTCAAAACAATTATAAAAAATGTTAAGCAAATTATCAATGAACCTATTAATAAAGAGCATTAGGTGCAATCTTGGCTCATAATATAACTACATAACAAGGCGGTTTACCAAATGACCATTACATTACATTACATTGCATTTAGCTGACGCTTTTGTCCAAAGCGACTTACAATAAGTACATTCGACCAGGAAGACACAACCTTGAAGAAAACAGAATCATATAAGTATATCAGGTTTCATAGAGCCAAACATTTCAAGTGCTACTCAACTGGCTTTAGGTAATCCAGTCCTTTATTGGTATAAAAGTGCTTCGTTAATCGTTCTAACGCTCGAAGTGGAGTCGAAAGAGATGAGTTTTCAGTTTGCGCCGGAAGATGTGCAAGCTATCTGCCGTCCTGATGTCAATGGGGAGCTCATTCCACCATCTTGGAGCCAGGATAGCAAACCCACGTGTTTTCGCCGATGGGAACTTGGGTCCCCCTCGCAGCGAGGGCGCAACGAGTCGTTTGGCTGATGCAGAGCGTAGTGCACGCGCTGGGGTGTACGGTTTAACCATGTCCTGGATGTAGGAAGGGCCAGATCCATTCGCAGCACGGTAAGCAAGTACCAGTGTCTTGAAGTGGATTCTAGCAGTTACCGGAAGCCAGTGAAGGGAGCGGAGGAGCGGAGTGGTGTGGGAGAATTTAGGAAGGTTGAAAACCAGACGGGCCGCTGCATTCTGGATGAGCTGCAGAGGTCGGATGGCACATGCAGGTAGACCAGCCAGGAGGGAGTTGCAGTAGTCTAGGCGTGAGATGACGAGAGCCTGGACCAGAACCTGAGTCGCTTTCTGAGTCAGCTGGGGACGTATCTTCCTGATGTTGTAAAGCGTGTATCTGCAGCAGCGGGTTGTAGCAGCGATGTTTGCAGTGAAGGACAGGTTGTTATCTAGGGTCACACCCAGATTCCTTGCAGTCTGAGTCGGGGAAACAACTGAGGTGCCGATGTTGATTGTTAGGTCAAGAGTTGGACAATCTTTTCCCGGGAGGAAGAGCAGCTCAGTCTTGTCAAGGTTGAGCTTGAGGTGGTGAGCAGACATCCACTGAGAGATGTCAGCTAGACAAGCAGAGATGCGTGCGACGACCTGGGTCTCTGAGCGGGGAAAGGACAGAATTAATTGGGTGTCGTCAGCGTAGCAGTGGTAAGAAAAACCATGCGGGCTAATGACTGATCCGAGCGAGTTTGTGTACAAGGAGAAGAGGAGGGGACCAAGAACAGAGCCCTGAGGGACCCCCGTAGTTAATTGACAAGGGTCGGACTCAGACCCTCTCCAAGTCACCCTGTAGGTACGGTCTTTCAGGTATGAGGTGAGGAGGGAAAGTGCAGAGCCAGAAACTCCAAGTTTTTGGAGAGTGCGAAGGAGGATCTGATGATTCACCGTGTCGAATGCAGCAGACAGGTCCAACAGGATGATGACAGAGGAGAGGGATGCAGTTTTGGCAGTGTGCAGTTCCTCCGTGACCATCAAAACAACATGTGAATTATGTAACCGTGTGTATTAACAAAACTTTCAAAATGATCTGTCTTATTAAACAAATCATGGAAATTATTTTGGTACCAATTTCTTACCAAATACCTTTTGGACATGAGTCACAATACAGGTACAAGAACTGCTACATTAAAAGGGGACTCTTTTAAATGTGTAATAATTAGTTGATGATGTTACTGCTAGGTTTCTGCAAGGTGGACGAGACTCCCAAAGGCTGGTACATCCAGTACATCGACCGCGACCCGGAGACCATCCGCCGACAAGAGGAGCAGGCGAGGAAGAAAAAGCAGGACCTGGACGACGAAGAGAGGAGCGCCAAGTTCATCGAGGAGCAGGTCCGCAGAGGCCGGGGCGACAAGGAGGAAGAGGTGAGGACCAGAGAGGACGCACTCAGCTTCACACAGACTCAATTCTGCTTTATGAAGATCAATGGAGTTGAGATTTCACATTTGTGTTCCTGTATTCTAATCTTTAGGAAACCCCAGTTTTCACAGAGCTGAAACGTGAGAGTGAAGAAGAAAAAGGTTAGTTTTATTTTTGTGATCATTTAAATGTCGTTAATGCTTTTCTTGTCACTCACCCTTACATTTTTTCTGCAGTTGCTTTCAACCTGGGCGCCTCCTCATCTGTAGCCGGTCCTTCTAAATCAAGGTAAAGATATCTGCTGCCTTATTTTTTTTTACGTAATCACGGTATAATGAAAGAAATTATACTTTTTATTTTTTATTTTTTTTATTTTTATTATCTTCCACTGTAAATAACTAATTTATTTTATATTTTCTTAAATAGTTAAGTTAGACTTTAAAATACACGTATTGTTACCCCGTGTTTTATTTGTTATCCTTTACAGGTTATTACTACTAACACAGCTTTCTACTTAAAAATAGATAATTACCTATGTAAATGTGTCCTTAAAATGTCCTTAAATCTGCATTAAAACCATGGTCATTGTATGCCTTGAAAAAAATGCTTCTCAATTATCAAGAAAGTCTTATTTGATAATATTATCTTAAAATGTTTGTCTCCTTTTTAGTTCTGCTCTGGGTGCGAGTGCCCTCAAAGCAGCCGCATCATCGTCAGCCAAGAGAAAAGACACGAGTGCAGACACCAGAGGGGAGAAGAAGAAGAAATCTGCTCTGGAGGAGATTATGGAGGTAGAGGGGATGATCTACTGGTATGTTCTACTAATGTGTCTGTGTTTACATTGAGACGTTATATACATGCTGTTTGTTCAGATGGAGGAGAAGAAGAAGAAGAAGCAGTCGGTCAGATTGGATTTCTGGCTGCAGCCAAACATCGTGGTCAAAGTCGTCACAAAGAGACTTGGAGAGAAGTACCACAAGAAGAAGGCGATCATCATGGTAAAAAACGCTTTGCATTTATCTTTGTGAGAGTATGTTTATGTGCATAGGGATCAGGTTTATTATGTTTACCTAACTAAAAGAAGAACAAGCAGGAATAATATTGACCTAAATTCAACTTAACAAAGACTTAAAGTGAAACGAAATTGCCTGGTAAAAAAAAAATAGTAAAAATTAAGATTCAGTTTTTTTTGGAAATGTGGAAAAAAGGAAATGGCATGAATTTCTGTCAATGCTTTGACATCGAAACCTAAATATATAATATATTTAATATATAATAATTATAATAATAATAATATAATATAATTAATATATAATATAATTGACTGCCTCAATAGCTTCACAATAAAAATAAATCTATGTTTTTTGTAGTTTACATGCAGTCAAGTCTCTTGAATTGAAGAACATAGATTACATATACATAGCAAAACTTACTTCTGAGACATTATACATAGCCATCAAAAACAAACTAGAATGAAATATTCAAGCCAAAAAAGAAATAAAACCTCAATATGGAGACCTTTGTTTCTAAAAGCTGTGGATCCTTTTTAATTGTAGGAGGTACGAGAGAAATATGGAGCTGTTGTTAAGATGATCGACTCCGGAGACAAACTGAAATTGGACCAGAATCACGTGGAGACGGTCATACCCGCACCAGGTAAACATCCAAAGCTCTTATACAGTCAAGTATAGTAATCTGATGGATGAGGGCAGCATCATGTCTGTACCTCAGCTGTACTTTCTATCCTCCTCAGCCTCTTGTTGTGACTCTCCCTGCAGGTAAACAGGTTCTGATCCTGAACGGGCCGCACAGAGAGAGGGAGGCTCTGCTGGAGGGAATCGACGAGAAGAACTTCAGCGCCACGCTCACAATCGCAACTGTAAGTATTCATAGTACTGTACATCTCACATGTTATCCACTGCACATCTGTAAGGTAAATATAAAATAGTTCTTGATATAAGATAAGATATCCAACAGTTCCCTCTTAAAACTCATGAAAAACATAAGCAGCCTATACCAAATTATGAAAAGTATCTACTTTTCCTCTAGGGTTAACTCACCATGCAGATAGTTTTTAGTTTTATTTCCCCCAGTTTAATGCAAAGGTCTTCTGTATTTCTGACTGGTTTGTGGTCATTAAGCACAAAATGATTACTCAAAATAATGTTAAAATGTCACAATGACTGGTGGTTGAACTAAATATATGCTGTTATCACACAACATTAAACAAAATATTCCAGGTAGAATTCCCATGTGATAATACACTTAAAAATATGTTTTAAGCATCATATTAATCTAAAAACTGAAAGTCGCTGTAAAAAATCTTTACATTTTAAAAACTATTATTGCTTTCCTTAGCTGCACTCACTTTTATGTAGCATTTTAAACGTGTTGTATCCAGTACCTGTGATTGAAGTTTGATCTTCTCGTCCTCAGGGTCTTCAGAAGGGGAAGACGGTGAGCGTCGCCTACGAGGATTTCTCTAAACTGGCCTGAACCAACAACCTGTCTGCTCTAACCTCAGGGACTCTACTTAGTCAAAGTTATTTCCCCAACATCCACCTGTATATATACACACACACACACACGCACACACACACACTCATCATCACAGAGAAACTCAGAGCAATGTGTTCAATTTGTTTTTTATTTTGTATCGGATGTTCAAGTTGATCTTAGCATTGCAAATGTACATTTAGTCTTAATAAATTGAACAAAAAGTGACTTTATGGTGTTTTTTTTTATAATTAGGAATCAAACATTTATAATAGGATTGGGGGATATAATGAAGAATCAGTACAATGATAGAAATGTGTCAACCAATGGAGATCCTGCAATTATATATATCCATGATTTGGGCAGAAATGGAGGAGAATTACATTTTAAACAAGGGGGACAAAGCATTCTGGTTGCACAGTAATTTGTGAGCTTTTTTAAATGAAATGTAAGTAAAACCTGCAGGAAAAGTCTTTTTTCCTTGGTTAATTAACTTTTATTTTATTAATTCACTGAATTAACACAGATTGGCATTCATTTGCTTCCGTTAACTTTAAAACCTGTTACACCTCAAATGATTGTCCTCAGGAACCTTAAAGCTTTCATTTGGAAAATAATGTATTTGTCTTTTAACTTGTGTTGTCTTCTATGATGTATATAAAAGAAAATAATCAAATGTGATGCAGTGTATTAATTGAATTTACTGAATATAAAATGCTATATAGACTTTGGCCATATCAACCATCCCGGACTTATAATTACAAAATGAAAAATCAGGAAATATAGATTCATAAAAACCACAATGGGGAAAAGGATCGTCTTCCCTTTCTATTTACTCATTTCATTACATGTCACTCGTTAGACGCTTTTATCCAAAGCGACTTACATACTCAGTACTGTGGGCAATCTCCACAGGAGCAATTTGGGGTGAAGTGTCTTGCCCAGGGACAAAACGACATGCTGACTGCAGCGGGGTTTGAACCTGTGACCCCCTGATCCGAACACCAACGCACAACCCACTGTGCCCCACACCTCCTGTTTTCACTCTTTCTAAATGGGTGTTAATAGCACTGTGGAAAGATCTGGAAAAGATGACTTGTTTTGACTGACAAATCTCTCTAATGTTATGAATAATATTGCAATTGCAACATTATTCATAATATTAGAGAGATTTGTCATGTTCTAATTATGATTCTTAATATTGAACAAATATTAAATGATTTTGGTGTGATATCTGTACCAAACAAATATGTTTTATAAATCTGTAGAACACATTCTTAGCCTTTTACAAATACTGTGCTACCTGTGATTGTAATATTGCACTAGTCCATATTTTGATTTGGATAACATTTGGATTAATAGTGCAGCCCTATAGATGAGCATGGTACTTGAATGTGTCTCTGGCAGCTCAGAGCACCTGCAGGAAGCTGTTGAGATGTGGGACGATGTAGTCGGTGTAGTGGCCGTCGATGAAGCCCTTCCCACTGTTGTGAATGAACCAGCAGTAGATGCTTGATCCGAGCCTCTTATCGCGCCTGTAGTCCTTCTGCCAGCCCCTAACGTACACACAAGATTTATGGTTTGAATATGAAGTGTGTTCTTTCAGAAATCACTTCATCTGCGTTAAGACCTACCTGGTGACGAGCAGCGTATTGCCCTTCACCTCCATCGTGGCCTCCTTCTTCAGAGGGTCCATTCCCTCGTGCATGTCGTGCACGCTCACCTCAGGCTCTCTGGAAAACTGCCCTGAGAGATCATACACACTTTCAGATTGACAAAAGGTATTGTGAAGGAACTATTTTCTTTTTTATTGAACCACACTCGCCATCCATATCATTGTGTGGAAGGGAGTGTGAATCTGCTTGGGGGTGAGAGGCTTGTGCTGGCCCGTCGGTTGGTGCAGTTTTGTAAAAGGAAAAATAATAGAGAAGGCAGACAACAATCATGATCGATAAATAGCACTACAGGTAAGAGAAACACTTGAAGTTGGTTCTTTAGAGTATTGTTGCAGTGACACTAGTGGCACAAAAACACATTTATGTTGGTTAAAAAATGCTTTAAACTAAAAAAGTCAGTCAACTGTTAGCTTTTACCTCTAGAGCTCAATAACTTGTTCTAATGTGCGTTTTGATTGCAAAAAGTCAGTGTCTGTTAAGTAGATACAGTGGGGCAAAAAAGTATTTAGTCAGCCACCAATTGTGCAAGTTCTCCCACTTAAAAAGATGAGAGAGGCCTGTAATTTTCATCCTAGGTACACTTCAACTATGAGAGACAGAATGGGGGAAAATAATCCAGAAAATCACATTGTCTGATTTTTAAAGAATGTATTTGCAAATGATGGTGGAAAATAAGTATTTGGTCAATAACAAAAGTTCATCTCAATACTTTGTTATATACCCTTTGTTGGCAATGACAGAGGTCAAACGTTTTCTGTAAGTCTTCACACACTGTTGCTGGTATTTTGGCCCATTCCTCCATGCAGATCTCCTCTAGAGCAGTGATGTTTTGGGGCTGTCGCTGGGCAACACAGACTTTCAACTCCCTCCAAAGATTTTCTATGGGGTTGAGATCTGGAGACTGGCTAGGCCACTCCAGGACCTTGAAATGCTTCTTACGAAGCCAGTCCTTCGTTGCCCGGGCGGTGTGTTTGGGATCATTGTCATGCTGAAAGACCCAGCCACGTTTCATCTTCAATGCCCTTGCTGATGGAAGGAGGTTGTCACTCAAAATCTCACGATACATGGCCCCATTCATTCTTTCCTTTACACGGATCAGTCGTCCTGGTCCCTTTGCAGAAAAACAGCCCCAAAGCACGATGTTTCCACCCCCATGTTTCACAGTAGGTATGGTGTTCTTTGGATGCAACTCAGCATTCTTTCTCCTCCAAACACGTCTAGTTGAGTTTTTACCAAAAAGTTCTATTTTGGTTTCATCTGACCATATGACATTCTCCCAATCCTCTTCTGGATCATCTAAATGCTCTCTAGCAAACTTCAGACGGGCCTGGACATGTACTGGCTTAAGCAGGGGGACACGTCTGGCACTGCAGGATTTGAGTCCCTGGCGGCGTAGTGTGTTACTGATGGTAGCCTTTGTTACTTTGGTCCCAGCTCTCTGCAGGTCATTGACTCGGTCCCCCCGTGTGGTTCTGGGATTTTTGCTCACCTTTCTTGTGATCATTTTGACCCCACGGGGTGAGATCTTGCGTGGAGCCCCAGATCGAGGGAGATTATCAGTGGTCTTGTATGTCTTCCATTTTCTAATAATTGCTCCCACAGTTGATTTATTCACACCAAGCTGCTTACCTATTGCAGATTCAGTCTTCCCAGCCTGGTGCAGGTCTACAATTGTGTTTCTGGTGTCCTTTGACAGCTCTTTGGTCTTGGCCATAGTGGAGTTTGGAGTGTGACTGTTTGAGGTTGTGGACAGGTGTCTTTTATACTGATAACGAGTTCAAACAGGTGCCATTAATACAGTTAACGAGTGGAGGACAGAGGAGGCTCTTAAAGAAGAAGTTACAGGTCTGTGAGAGCCAGAAATCTTGTTTGTTTGTAGGTGACCAAATACTTATTTTACCGAGGAATTTACCAATTAATTCATTACAAATCCTACAATGTGATTTCCTGGATTCTTTCCCCCCATTCTGTCTCTCATAGTTGAAGTGTACCTAGGATGAAAATTACAGGCCTCTCATCTTTTTAAGTGGGAGAACTTGCACAATTGGTGGCTGAATAAATACTTTTTTGCCCCTCTGTATATATGTTAATCCACATTTGTATTAAATAGGTTCAGTAAATGAAATATATACCCTCCCTTTAGAAACCTATAGGTGTCTTCATGCATGTTTTTTTTACAGTCTTAGGCCTCAGATCTGATTCACAGATATCTCAGTAATACCCTGTGGTTGTATCGCTGCTTGAAAGTATTTCACACCACGCACAGAGACCTACCTATGAGTCCGTGCACCAGAGGGGAGTACTGGTTATCGTTGGGAATGTAAATACCGAGGAAGTCGACACTGACTGGATTTTTCGTCCACACACGGTGAAGTAACACCATCACATGGGTATTATTATTTATCGTGATGGACACATGAGAGTTCTTCACAATGGAGATCCTCACACTGAAACACAGAAACATGACAACATGAGGTAAAAATCACCCTGAGTGAGGTAGATGCTGTAATTAAAGATGAAATGTGTCATGGTTACCCATCCTGTGAGATTTTAGCCGTGGTCCCCCAGGTGAAGGAGTGGTTTCTCTGGCCGTCGGTCATGGAGATGTTGTCGGTGCCGACGGTCAGGCTCACTCCATCGGGCTGGTAGTACACTGAGATGGTGCCGAAGTACGTGCTCAGTTTGCCTTTGTGCGCCTGCTTAGAGCCGACCAACTGACCGTTCACCACCAAACCTAAAATAAGTGGGGTTATCCTTTATTTGTAATGCTCCAGTTACAAATGTGTTACTTACTTACGTGTAAGTAAAGCAGAAAAAAGTAGATATTCTTTGTCAGGGTTAGAGTAAGTTAAAAGGTGCAACAGATTCTTTCACACACAGTGACGTCACAAGCTACCCACAATGCAACACGCGCCATATAAATATATATAAATGCGCCATTTTCCTGGAGGTGCTAATATCCTGGAAGTGCAAATATAAACAGCTAGCTAACGTAGCCAGGCAGAGCGCAGTAGGTTTTTTTTCTGTACATTAACGACCGAAGAAATCGCTGCATGTCTTCGGATTACATCTCTGGACTTGAGGGGTGTGCTTTAGGTCGTTACCAGCGTAAACTAGAGCTGTGTGGGTTGTTACAGACTGCCTGCAGATGTATGGAAAAACGACAGTGGCCTTCGTCGATTTTGGCTGCATCTACGTCTAATTTCTGGAAACACCAGGTGAATACCCCCACTTGTCACAATAATATTATCATGCCATTGCATATATGTGGTATTTTAGAGTTGACTAGATATTGATTAAGGCAATAGACTATGATATTCAGTACAGGAAGCTTAGCAACACCTAGACGGTGTACGGCTGCTTGCACCTCGCGTAAAACGGCGCAGACCGGAAGTATGGTGTCGCGCTCGGCCCAATACCCGTATGTGTGTGTGAAAGAATAGTCAGGTGACGTAATATAACGTCATGTGTGTATCTGTTATAAAGCTACAGTCAGGAGAGTGTTAGCTTAGCATAAAAACTGGGAACGGGGAAAAAGTTGTCTCCTTCCAGAAGTTGGGAAAACCAGTTTTCGATCAAGTTTCATTTAATTTAGTTTAAATTGTGTTTGAATCTTATTGTTGAAGCAGGCAGTGTGGTACCTGTTCCAGTGTCAGTCACCAGGTTGAGGATGTGTCCGGGGGCGGAGTCGATGTTGAAGCAGACGTCCATGTTGCTGCTGGGCAGGTGGATGATGAAGTGAGGGTCGTTATCCACTGCAGGAGAAACACTGAGCGCGTCACACATTCACATTCAACACTGCAGCTGGAAGAGTGCCTATGGAGGTCATCATGAGTGTGTGTGTGTGTGTTGCCTATTTAACACTAATTTGGTGTCAACCACTACAAGCATCACCCACTGATGGAAGATGGTAGAACCAGGACAATACAATTGAATTTCAGACTTGATTTTAAAACAATACATCTAATAAAGTTATTTATTTATGTGGTATATGAAAGTGTGTCTGGTTTGTGTTATTCCTCATGGCTAATGAGTCCCATACTGGTTGTTTTAAGGCCATGTTTAAAGGAAGACCTTGCAAGGGCGTGGAATAAAGCTTTCCAAAAACATGTGGGAAAAATAAATCACTGTAGGAAAAAAAAACAGTTCAGACACTCTCCACAACCTCTTTACACAACCTTCTTCAAAACACACAGACCTGGAATTCTCCTAAGTGAATGTACATGCCTGTGTGTGTGTGTGTGTGTGTGTGTGTGTGTGTGTGTGTGTGTGTGTGTGTGTGTGTGTGTGTGTGTGTGTGTGTGTGTGTGTGTGTGCGCACGTGCGTGTGTGTTACCTAAGTTGACCGTTGGAGGCAGGGCGTACTCCTCGCTGCCCTTAACAGCCTGGCTGGGGGGGGCGTTAGTGGTCATCTGGACCCAGGGGGGGGCCTGGTACACCACATTCACTGGATTGAGCGCCGAGGAGGAGCCTCCACCAAACCCTGCACCTACACACATGATTTGAATTCTGCATTACATTACCGATTGTATGATACGATTATACTTTAATGTCAAATATTTATCTGTCAGGCACCTGAGCAGCAGCCATGTTTGGGGTCCTTCGGAGAGTCGGCCAGCAGCCTCTCGTTGGTGTCCTCGCTCTCCACCAGCAGCGCGGTGAGTGGAGTGACAAACTGATGCTCCACGGCCAGCGCCATGATCCTCTGAGTGATCTTCCTCTTCTTCACCGCAGTGGGAGCCAGAGACCTGCAGGAGAGACACAGCTGATCACACTGACTATCATGCAAACACCTGTCATACTCCTGCAGGAGAGCATGTTTCATAAAGACGTAATAAAGGGCCATTGGTGTTTTGTTTTTGTATTTAGATTTTCCTATTTATTCATATAAGGACGCTTCATTCCTTAACTTCTTTCTTTCTTTGTTTCATGACTTTTGCTGTGTTAATATCATATCATTTAGTAAATGTTTTTATTTTGGAAGTTCACCTTCAGATCCTGTATTCAATGTTTGTGCAACAGTGGCATTGTGTAAAATAAATGGCATTTTACGGATTACAATTCAGAACATTTATGAATAATTAGTTGTTGTGATCAGGACTGAAGACATTTATTTCCAATTAATATTCTTGTTTCTTGATTATCCAACAGTTCTCCGTTTCTCTGCAGGCCTCTCACCTCTCAGAGATCAGCTGTTTGACAGTGATGTAGGCCCACATCTGTCTGGCGAAGCCCGTGAAGGAGTGCTGCTGCTTGGCCAGCTCCGTGTCCAGCTCCGTGAAGTCTCCCTCCGTCTCAAAGGTGACGTCCAGACGGGCCTGAGGGAGCACACAGCACAGAGGACACTAGTGGTGCTAAATCTGAACTTCTTTCCTTCAGCAATGACCTTTAACCCTTTATTTCTAAACACATATATAATTCTATGTGGGAATTGAGATTTTTGCCAACATTTTTAGAAACCTGAAGAGGAAAAACTGTGTAGTATTTCACACAAAAAGAAAAGATTCAGGAAAAGTTGATTTGAAATGTGTGAATCGATTCTTACGGCAGAAAAAACACAAGTGTGGAATGGTGTACAGAACTTGTAAATGGAGGTGTTTCTTAATAATCTGTTGGTAATCTGAAGAGGCACAACTCAAATAATCACAAGTAAATATTTTAAATGTTAATGTAATTGCATTTTACTCACGGCGCGGGCGGTGGTGAAGCTGGTCAGCGTGTTGCTCTCCGACGGCTTCACTTTCCCGGCCACCACCAGCTCCGAGCCGCTGAAGTACTTATCGAAGCGGTTCTGGGTGACGTCTGACACCGAGTCCTCCGGGAACTGAACCTGGATCATCCTCAGCAGGGGGGAGGAGACCTGGCTGTAAAACGCCTGTAGGGGGAGGAGGAGGAGGAGGAGGGAGGCAGAATTAGATGCTGGAATGAAATATTTTCCTCCCTTTTCTACATAATATATATATATATATATTTTACTTTGAACAATTGAACATAATTATGGAATCAGCAACAGAGTGAGAGAGGGTCAGCTTGGTTTTTTATCATGGCTGCATGGAGACCAGACCATGACTTTAGCCTTTTTTCATCAACTATAGATATCCCATCTGAAATTTGTTGCAAAAAGGGTAAAAAAACAGACCAAAAAAGTGGAAAGGTTGACAAAAAATCAAGACCGGAACTGTCCACAAAAGGGAAAAAGAAGACCGTATAAAAAATTGAAAAAATACAACAGTATACAAAATTGAAAAAATACAACAATTAAAAAAAGTGAAAAATATCATAAGTCGAAAAAAGTGAAAAAGATCACAAGTATGTTTTTGTCTAAATATAACAAACAACTTATGTTGCATGGAGCTTATTCCACTTCCAAAGACAGAGATGTGTCTACTCGTAGTGTTAGGTATGTGTACCCGGAGCTGCTCTGCTGCATCGTGGTTGGCGTAGATCCTCTGAGCCATGCCTCTGTTCTCCATGGCGATCCGCTCCAGGAAGTCATAGTCCACGTCGAAGCCGATGCCCAGCGAGAAGAGAGAAAACTCCTCCCTCATCACCCGCTTCACATTCTTCTGGATGGTGCCCAGCTTGATCTCACCTGTAGAGAACGAAATATCATCTCAGTGACTAAAGACACAAGACTGTGTTTTAAATGACGTGTACAATCACCTAGCATAGAGACATTGCATCCGTCTTTCTTCCTCTCCTTTGGCTTTATTTGGATCTCAATGACTCACCCTGTGTCACCTTGAGTTCTTTAAACGTCTTAGATGCCTCAACAGTTAACAACAAATCCCAAAACTGATTGTAGTTCCTTGAGAGCCCTTAAAGTAAGGCCTATTCCTTGGCCAATTTTCAACACTTCTGCACAAAGTACCTCTTTTAAGGGCTGCATTTAGATGTTAAATCAGATATATTAAACCTATTTTTACATTATTTTGTCGTACCTTTCTTTGTAATATTCCTCCATTCTATACAGTAATTATTTTTCTTGATGTTTTTACTTGTTTAGACCCACAATTTATTGACATATTTTAAATAAACTGCAGTTTTTTCCGTTGAATTCAGACGTATTGTACATATTTTATGGTTAATTTCCTCCATTATGTTTTAGTTTGATTTGATTTTCTATTAAATGTGTTCACACAACAAAACCGACATGAAAACACTCGAGGTATAAACCCGATTTTGATTCTAAAATCTATTGAACATCAGTCCTACCCACGGTGGGGTCTCCGTCAGACACCAGGATGATCATGGAGACGGAGCGGGGGTCGATGAGCCCCTGATTGGACGCCCTCACCAGCATCTGCACAGCTCTCATCAGAGCCTCGTTAATGTTGGTACCTGCGGTCAGTAGAATGTGGTCGTTAACACACCAATGTTCATGTTCACCAGGGTCTCAGAGCGACCTCCCACGAGATGAAAGAGTCGTTTTCTCTCACACCTCCGTTGGGTTTGATGTCCTGGATGTATCTCTTGGCGTCTGCGATCTGAATGGAGGATCCGGCCACCAGCTCTTCGTTCCAGCAGCGCACGTTGTGGTTGAAGTCGATGATGCTGAAGTGGTCATCTATGGCCATGTCCTCCAGAATGGCCTGCATGGCCTCCACTGTCTGAGAGAGCAGAGGGGATTAAATGCACTTCTTAAAATGCAGAATGATCGCACAAAAGGCTGCTTTTCAAATTAAAACCCTTTTTAAACAGAGTTTAATTATGCTTTTCCTTTTAAAATGCACATTGAAGTGTTGTTTGCTGTGGTGGAACATAACCAAGTACATTTACTCATACGTACTTAAATGCATATTTGAGGTACTTGTACGAGTATTTTCTTAACTGCCACAACAATTTGGATATGTTCTAATTTACTTTGAAGATATTCAATTTTTTTAATTGTACTTTTCTTTCTTCTAATTATAGAAATCCAGTCTTTTAATATATATGATTTTGAAATTGGCCATAATTAAGTACATTCACCTTTTTGTACTTTAAGGACATTTTAATGCCAATAATTTTGTACTTTTACTTAAAAGTAAGACCTAGAAAGAAGGACTTTAACTTTCAACAGAGTGTATTCACAATTATTCATTAATGATCCTTTTACTTAAGTAAAACATAAAGAACTTCTTCCACCATTGCTGTCAGTACAATTACCATTTGCCCTTACTTCATATGTACTATTACATGCCGTATGCATACAATTGGGACATAGTACACAATGCAACCTGATGCAGTAAGACATCCAAGTGTTTTCTATGTATTGGGACATACTTTATCTTTCTGGCATACTCAATAGTTTGGTAGTGTGGGACAAAGTGCAAAAACTCCATGTCAACAAACGACTCACTTGCTTCATCTTGACTCCCCACATGGATCCGCTGACGTCAATGACGAACACGATATTTTTAGGGAGAGGAGAGAGGTTGGAGGGAGCAAAGAACTGGACGAAGTGGCCGTCTGAGACCTGGAGGAAACAGTAAAGGTGTGATCATCTCCAAAAGTGTTTGTGGCCATATACGACATGAAGCAAGTTCATCATTGAGGCTTTAAAGATAACATACCTGTAGTTCTCCGGCATTGCCGTCCCGGGTCACATCATATTTGACGGTGAAGATGCCGTCTATAGCGCTTCCAGTGCAGTTGTCACATTTTCTCTGCTGCTGGAGGTTTGGCTTGAAGACAATATGAGCCTGAGGACAAAGACAGCGCTGATTAGATATAATATGCTACACATTCAAAAGAGACTTCAATTATCCCTGAGAAGAAAGGGTAGGTTTTTGTTTTTGTGTGTATATGTGATGTTTAAACCATTTTTATTGTTTAATGCAAATATTGTCATCATTAATGACGCAACAATTCACACAGAAATAAAACAAAATTCCGAGGCAAATCGTGGGCCTTTATATTTAACATCAAGTATTTTTGTCAAGCAAAGAATATATAAAAATACATTGGTATACTTGGTAATATATTTTAGAATTGTTCATTCTTTAACCCATCATTGGTCAATTTAAATGTCCAGAAGTCACTCACTTGATTCAGATAAAAAACGATCTACATTTTTTGTATCCCTCTGGGTGTTTTCCAGTCTTACCTTCTCTTTGGTCGAGGTCACTTTGATATTCTTTACAAACTGCTCTCCGAGGGTGTTCGGTGTTTCTACCATGGAGATTCCCTTGGGCTCAAAGATGTACACATCCACCTGAGGAGAGACTGGGTCAGGGACCATTGGTATAAGATATACAGACCTGCAAACGTACATTTATTACGATTTTCTCACCTGGAACTGAGGCACCAGCCTCCCAGGCTGCAGGAACAGCGAGTGCTCGTAGACGCCCAGCCTCCTGTGCATCATCTCCTGGTAGTGCAGCTCAAACTCAATGTTACTGCCAGGAGGAACATGCACTTCTGTTTTAAACGTCTCCATGTCCTGGGAATTGGCCCTGGAAAGCAGCAAGATTTAAGTGAGCATGATCGTTGTTGGATTACTGGGCATAGCCACATACAGAATGTCTCTCAAAGGGACACGTTGTGATTCTCCAGAAAGAGAATTAAAATGACTACAAGGAAAACGAGAACAAAGACAAGAGACAACAGCAACTATAAATAGATGCTAAACAGCTACAAAGAGACTCACAAAAGCTATTAAAAAGGGGTCAAAACACAAAGAGACACAAAATGATGAGAATAAGAAACAAAACCACGAGAGATGAGAAAAGCTGCAAACTGACTCAAAATATTAACAAAAGTGACTCAAAATGACAACATAGAGATACAACAACTCCAGAGACTTCAAATGTATATGGAGACACACAAATAAAGCTATGAGATTCAAAATGACTATAAAGGGACACAAAAAGCTACAAAAAGATGAAAATAACTATAGAAAGTGTCGACAAAACAGAGTTCAAATAAATACAAAGAGACACAAAGTAGCTTTACAAAAGGACATAAAATGACTACAAATCAACAAAAAAGGGACTCAAAATGAGGACAAAACTCACAAAACAGCTACAACAAGATGCATAACAACCACAAAAACACCCTAAACCCTACAAAGGGACTCCCAATGACTAGTAGTCTGTCTGTCCCCTTGGTGTTTCAGCTCCAGAGGCCCAGCAGTACCTGACGATGCCCGCTGCCTTGCCTCTGGCTCGGGCCTGGGCGTACAGGTTCCTGGCCACCGTCTTCTCCTTCACCGAGCCCACGAATATGATCCCGTTCACATTCCTGCAACGAGAAGAGAGCGGGGTTAAACTCTGCACACTCTCTGTGACAGCAGCTGGGACTGAAAAAGGCCTCACATGGTGAAGTTAGTGATGAAAGCTCGTTTGGGGATCTGCACGTTGAAGCCGATGCTCTGGGCCTTGGAGCCCGAGTTGACCACGGAGCTTCGGACGGTGGTGTGGGCGAAGCGGGACGTGATGCGGCTCTCCACCTTGTAGCTCTTCACCGTGATGTCTTCACCACGGATCGCCTGAGAGGATAAGGGAAGAGTTAGGATATTAGAAACAGGAGGAGGTTTTTAATTATTTCCTTTCTCTGACTTGGACCACCTTTTATTTTGGAATTTGTGCCATAATATTCTACACATATCTTAATATCTAAGAGATGTCTTTCTGAGTTTTGTCTTCAAAAATATGAGATTTCAAATAATAATGTAATAAAAGGAAGAAAATTGGGACCTTTTTATTCTGCTGCGGTGTTATTTAATGTATATATAAGATAAGATAAGAAGTACTTTATTGATCCCAATTTGGGATTTATTTTGTGTTGCAGCAGCATAAAAATTATTAAAAAGACTAGAAATAAACATTCCAAAATGTAAAAATCTCAATAGAAATAAAACAGCATTATAAAAAAAGTAGAAAATATACATGTTGAATTACAAATGTACAGAAACAAAATATAAAGCAGGATATTATATATACATACATATGTGAGGAATGGAATACTAAATAGTATATTGAATATAAATGAAAAATGTACAAGCTACATATGGTAAATTGTTGTTGTTGTTCTATTATTATCTCAATGGTTTCCAACTGTGTGCCACAAAACCACACAAACTGTTATTCCTCTTTAAATATCCCCTGAGATTTGTATACATTCAAAAAACTTTAAAACAATTCCATTGGTTTATTTATTCTGCATTTACTTCTATTACGTCTTCCAAACCCAAGTGTCTTGATGTAACACTTCCCCTAAATGTGATAAAAGCAGCTGACTGTCCCAGTGATTAGATTTTTTTTAGGAAGAGAAAGACAGACATAAAAGGGAATGAGAGCAGGATTATTTCAGAACAAAGTCAATAACCCGTCAGTCACGGGAGTCTCTTCAAACAGACGCATATCGACTGTGAGATAACGGTCAACTCTGTCACAGAGGAGAGGGCTCCAACAACAAGAGTCCTACCTCAAAGTCTTCCTGCTCCTCGCTGGTCAATATGGCTCTCTGGAACACACACACACACACACACACACACACACACACACACACACACACACACACACACACACACACACACACACACACACACACACACACACACACACACACACACACACACACACACACACACACACACACACACACACACCACACACACACACACACACACACACACACACACACACACACACACACACACACACGATTATGATGAACAAACTATGGTACATTCAGGTTCAGAGCAGGTCTGTAGGATGATGCTTTGTACATTTTTGCGCAATCCGTAAGAACCACACTGTGGGTCAATGATTATTGCAACATCAATGAGAAAACAAAAATCAAGCTCTGTATTCTGCATTTAGAAATGAATATAAATGAGAAACATTAGGCTGTTTTCTGAAGGAGATCTCACCTTGTGCCTCTCCCGATGATCCCGCATATCTGACTGGGGGCAGAAGGAAAATCAGATTTAATAACATATACAATGACCTATGTTGGCGACACAATTTATGCTTGAGACGTGTGAATTTCAATTGGATTTACTTACATTTACAAAAACTGAGATATTAACTGACATGTTAGCAGTACAAGAGAGTTGGTTTTAAAGGTTAAAGGTCAGGGCAAGCCATTACATTTAATTTAAAAACAGATATAAACATAAATGTTGTCTTAATAATGATGAAAAGCAATCAAGCAGCATTAGCCTAGTTAGGTGAATAATACTAAATATTTGTATTTTTTCAGCAACAGTTCAAAAAGAAGACATAGGAGGTTAAGAAATGCTATAGTTCTGCTATAAGGGTGAGATTTTAAGGGAGTTTTTTAAGTCAAAAGTCAGGTCAAATATTTTAATTCCATGTAAATAAAATTCCCACATAGACTAAAAGAAAACCCCTCCAATTTAAATGATTCCCAACTCTTTCAAGACATTAAAGAAATAAACACATCCCTATTAATTGAGTCTCGATTAAGTGTGAATCATAACATCCCATAGAAACAATATAAATAAAAAGATGTCATGTCCTTGTGCCAGACATTTAAATAGACCCAAGAATCACTAACAGATGCAGAGTTTATTCACATTCAACAGAACAAACATTTATGTTTTGGCTTTCTTTCACTTTGACATGTTTTTGATAGCTTTCTAAAAAAGTGGGTTAAGCTTTGTTTTGCAAATGTAACTTTTCTCCAAGTGCCTGTAAACTCACCACGTCCTCCTCCCATTCTCCATCTATCACAAACTCAAAGCAGCAGGCCTGTTGGAGCAGCAGGAGCCCGAGGAGCAGCAGAAGACGCCTCATGTTTCCTGCACACACACACTCACACACATATAAAACAATAAAACAGCGCTGAGAGACAGACGGTCCTTCTGAGCTGAAAACTGAAGGTTGAAATCCACTGAACTGATCGACTCCCAGCCCCAGTCAATATTTGTTGTGTTTCATGTAGAGAGGAGAAGGAAACTTTGAAACTTGACCTGCAGTGTGGGCAGGGTAAATAACACACAGATTAAACACTAATACAGATTGTTTTAACGTATGGGACTTGGATATAAAAGTCACAATTTTGATGCACATTTGGCCAGATATCATTATGTTGAGTCTATAATATAGAGCTAGCAGTTTTTTAAAAATAATTAAAAAAGGCACAAAGAATTACATTTCAATGCACATATCCTGAGTTCACAGGAGAAAGATGTAATGTGGCGTTATGCCCACAAGATGGCACTAAAGTGGTGCTTTAGTGAAGCCACTACTGTATGTCGCTTCATTTACAGTACAAATGCATTAGTGGATGTTATAACTGTCAATTTGAATATTAGTAAATGCTTATTTCAGGGAAATATGTTTGTTCACAGTGTCACTGAAAAAAACAACATTTGAAATGCAAAGTAGGAATGAATTATTATTCTTTTAACTACAAAAAACTGAAAATGAAAGACAATAACACTGACTGGGTGTTGTGCCTCTTTGTTTTATATTAAATTACATAAACAAACATATCCCTCTAAAATAATATATTCTCCAATAATTGGCTACATCATTTCTAGTTTTAATAATTGATTGATATATAAATAAATACATTTGTATGACAGACTGACTGAAGTGCGGGTTCGTGGCTTCCACCTAGTGGTGATTAAAGGTAGGTTAAAATGATGTCATATCTCTCTCCCTATGAGTCAGAACCGGTCAGAACTGAATAAATGGTATGATAACATACATACAGGTGAGGGACATGCTAGAAAATACCGGATACAGAATTTCTTAGCTTAACCTCAACCTTTTTAGGTGGAAATTGTATTTAAATAAATCCATAAGGTAATAATTTTAGGTACCATGTAATTATTTTTAAAAGACCTGGTGCCTGCATTTAATCTTTTTACCCAAATAAATAAAACACATTTTTACCAGAAGTTGGTGCATAAAAACTTAACTGAATCCAGGACATTTATCTTTTAAAGCTAAAATATGTTACACCTGCTGCCTAATATTTGTGCCTCTATAATGTTGAAACGAAACCTACGCCCTTGCTCTCCACCTTGCAAAAAAGACTGAAGGTGTTCAGGGACTTCTTTTGTCGTGTTACTCATAGTTGCATAAAATCCAACACTCCTATAGAAAGTATCTAATCTCAAATGTATAATAAATATAACAAAGTCATGTAATATGTAATACAAAAAAACTAATTCTTATCAGGACAGCCAAGACAGCCAGTACGTTTTTACTTTGCTTATGTTTTTACAAGTAATATCCAAGCTTTAGTCAGACTTGAGTCCTGCTATAAAGTTTATCCTTAAAAAAGAAATCAGAGATACAACAAAAAGAGAATCGAGAAAATGAAGCACCAAGTTAGACACTTTAGAGTTAAAACACCACGGGGGGGGGGGGGGGGGGAGTGTTTTTCTGATCGGCCCCGGGCTCTCTGTCCGGTCACTCTTCTCAGGACAGACGGAGACTCGGAGACGCAGCGCTGGAAATAATGTCCCATTCATCTAACTGAGTTTAACTGGAGAAGGACTGCACGATGATGATGCTGCTGCTCACTTTTCTGATCATTTGCTCCAGTCCGACAGTTCTGGGGCAACAGGAGGAATCCCTGTTTGAAGATGATGTCGACCTCGCAGACTTTGATTTAGACATTGTAAGACTTTTAAAAAGGACGAAGGTGTTATATTCTGCTGTTTGGATTTCCTTATCTGACATTTTTCTTGTACACACAGGCGCCACGCAGGGTCCCACGGCAGGTGAAAACTATCTTAACCAAGGTAAGATCAAATGTATACGAAGATATTTCAATATTTTTCTTTCTTTATTGAGTTTTATTTTATTTAGACACTAAAGATTTGAGTTTGGGATAGAGCCCAAAGGTAAACAATACCGTAGTTGCAAAGAAAAGGCATTCAACATTTTAAGCAAAAATAAAATGTCCTGGAGTCTTGTGCTGGATGATCAATACTATAGAAGTAAAGGAGTTTGAACTCCCAAAAAACATGACTAAATATAACTTGATATCTTTAATACTGACATAGAATGCATGAACATTTTTTTGTTTTTTGGAAGTTATCCCCTAAAGTTGTGCGCATAGGGCGTGACGCGCAGGAGGACCGCCAAGCGCGCAGCTGTGCCAAAGTATCTGTAATGCACTTAGCTCATGGGAACACATTCCTCTCCCTGTATTTGGTTATTGTTACTATGGAGGAATTCAGGGTGTCTTAGGGTGAGACATCTTAGCTAATCAAAAATACGCACAGAAAAGATGCGTAAAGTGTGCCAAATTAGCGTATTTGCTTCTGATGTGAGCGTTTTACCTCTGCAGGAGACTAAGCCTCACATCCAAGAGCTCTCCATCAAGACCACCATCATCTCCCGCTACGCCTTCACCGCCGTGTACTGCGCCATGCTCAACCGACACTCCGCCGCCGCAGAGGGGGTTTTCAGCTTCCAGATCCCCGCCGGAGCATACGTCTCCAACTTCACCATGTAAGAGTCCTGTAGTATGAGCACCAACAATACCTCACAGAACACAACATCATTCTAACATGATCAATGCAATATTAAGACACAAAGTTGGATTTCACTGTAACCTGGACACATTGTAACTAAGGAAAATCTGCCTTATTTAAAAATCAAATAAACCCCATCAACACATAAAACAATGGATATTAAAACATTTGTATTAGTGATTATGAAATATACTGAACCAACTGAGAGCATGGTCAATTTTAACTGCATTTTTTAATTCATAAGGAGCTAAAAGCAACCCGTACTTCAGAATAAAGTGTCAAAAGATATGTACATTTTCCTTTCTGGCCCTATTATTATTGTTTCACACCTACGTTTTATCTTAGGGTCTATAAAAAGGGCCTGACCCCCAGGTTGAGAACCATTTTCTCTAATTGCAAAAACAAAGAGAAAAGGCAAGTTGATGAGACTTAAAAAGTTGCTAATACAAGGAATCTCACCTCAATGTGTATTATAAGCAAATACAAAAGGCATGTAATACACTTTAGTAAACAAAAACAGAAGATAAAAGAGTATAAATGAAGTTTAACTAAGACAGTCAGCTAGATTTGGCAAGTTGAACTCAAAGCTTTTCCTAATATAAACAACCATCTTAAAAAAAGGAGCAGATATCCAAATATAAATTCCCAAAACCTTCTTGAAAGCAATTTAAAATCTTATCAGCAGAAAATGTAGCACACCATTTTACAATTTAGAGCTATAACACCAAATAATAGCATCATCGGGTGAGGCTGGAAGGATTTACGATGTTTTGGTTTCTATGGAGACGTTAGCAAGGAGACAAGAAAAGGGTTAACCGTCGTTAACACACTCAGTGACCACAGTTCATTCACATGCACAAATTCTGTCTATTGTGTGAGAACGCCAAGTCTAAATGGGACAATAGGTGGTCCGCAGCAATCCTAATCCTCGACCTTTGACCCCCTGAACCAGGATCATCGGAGGGCGCGTCTACCAGAGCGAGGTCAGGCCCAAGCAGAAGAAGGTCAAGCAGGAGAACGGAAAAGCCCGGAACAAAGAGTCAGGTGAAGCAAGGTAAGAGTAACCTGAGAGAGAGAGTGTGTGTGTGTGTGTGTATGTGTGTGTGTGTGTGTGTGTGTGTGTGTGTGTGTGTGTGTGTGTGGTGTGTGTGTGTGTGTGTGTGTGTGTGTGTGTGTGTGTGGCCCCTCCTATGGTCTGACGTCTCCTCCTAATAACACAGCAGGCTCTCGCTCTCGCTCCCTCTAATGTTCCTATTTGGCAAACAAATATTAATAATATCCCAACTAAACACACTTTAACCACAACTCGGCAGCCAATAAGAGTGTGACCTGTGAGTGTGTGTGTGTGTGTCAGTGGTGGTCAAGTAACTAAGTACTTTTACCTAGGAACTGTGCTTAATTACAAATTTGACATACTTAAATTTTACTTGAGTATTTTTGTCTCCATTACAATTCAGAAGGAAATTTACTTTACTAGCTTTAGTTACTTTATAAATTCATATTTGTATACACACAACTTGTGAAGAACTTTTGAAACATGATTGTTGATATAGATTAAAGTAAACTAACCTAAAACAATGAGTGAGAAGACAGAAAAATGATATTACCTTTAAATACTTTTCCTAATCATATCTTAGTATTTTTTCTTTAGTAAAGGATCTGACATATTTTTCCACCACTAATGTGTGTGTGTGTGTGTGTGTGTGTGTGTGTGTGTGTGTGTGTGTGTGTGTGTGTGTGTGTGTGTGTGTGTGTGTGTGTGTGTGTGTGTGTGTGTGTGTGTGTGTGTGTGTGTGTGTGTGTGTGAGAGAGAGAGAGAGAGAGAGAGAGTGTGTGTGTGTGTGTGTGTGTGTGTGTGTTAAGATCATTTCTCCAGAGGCCAGGATTGTCATATAAATCTGTGAACCAAAAAGTGACATATGGAAGAAATGACATCACGTTTCCAGCTGTCATATGAAAAAGGGACATTTTATTGAATGAGATTTGGTGATTCAGTGACTCCGTTGTAAAGAAAGGGCAGAGGGAGGAAGGAGAGGATTGTGAGATTACACAAAGGCAGTATCAAATGTACGATATCACCTGGGTGCTCCTCCTCCTCTAGTCTAATGGTTACTCGTTTTTTCATTTCCAGCTGTGGCTTTACTTTATTTAACCTCCATATTACAGCTGTGGACACTGATGTTTGGAGAGAGCAGCATCGTGGCACACTCATAATAGAAACGGTGGCTAATATAGACAGGATAAAAAAAGGAGTGAAATTAAAGAGTAATAAAATATACTAATACCCCAGCAGTAAACCCCAATGATTCTTGACCAAACAACCCAAAGACCACTCCTCAATGTTTACTTTTAAAATATTACTAAGTCACTTTGTGTAGAATGAAAGTTTTTCCAACTGTGACCCTATGCAGTGTTAGCTTAAAAAAGGATAGACAGTAAAACATATTTAAACACAGTTTGATATTCATACCAAACTAAAAATGAATGCAAATCAATGGCTGATCAGCATATTCAAATACAAACTTGTAAACAATTATGTAAAAATTTAAAAACTTGCAGAAATTGAAAATCAGAATCAGAATACTTTATTTATCCTAGGGGAGATGTGGCTTGTTGACAGTGGCTTTAAGAGTTAAAACTAAAGTAAATAAAAAATAGTATAAAATATTGACATAAAACGAAAAAAAGGCATCGTAGAATAAAAGAAAGATATATAAAAAAAATTGAATAAAGTAAAAATATGTACATTGTACCACAAAATAAAACTTGTATATTACAATATAGTATTAATAAGATAGTAATGCACAGTTTAAAGGGTACCTGACCATTACTCTGTCTCCTCCCCTCTCCACCCTACAGCCCAGAGCAGGAGTTGGAGGTGTTCAGGATGTCGGCCAGCATCCCGGGTCGGAACCGGGCCGTGTTCCTGCTGACGTACGAGGAGCTGCTGCAGCGGCGGCTCGGACGCTACGAACACGTGACGAGCCTGCGACCGCTCCAGCTGGTCAGCCGCCTCAGCCTGGACGTCACCATCGTGGACCACTCCCCCCATCACCCACCTCCAGGTGCTGCCGCTGCGCAACGGCAGGAGCACCAACTCCGGATCTTCAAAAACACAAGGTTACACACATCATATTTTATTTGATCATATATTTAATATAGTTTTACTTTTTCAATCTTTGCTTTGATTCTTTTTCTAAAACTTCCTGTCTTTGTGCCTCAGTGAAGAAGGACCCTCCCGTCACCTCTGTGATCAAACAGGAGAAAAACATCTGCAAGATCACCTTCGGCCCGAACATCGTCCAACAGGCCAAGATCACCACCAACGGCTTGCTGGGAGACTTTGTGATCCGCTACGATGTGCAGAGAGAGATGGGGATAGGAGACATTCAGGTACACTACGATCCCTTTGTAGACTCTGCATTATAGACACAAAGAGAAGCGAACATTTTGATGATGAGAAGCAGATTGAAAAAGCATTAGCTTTCATATTTTGCACACTAAATTCCCATCCAACTTTACACACACTCCTCCACCCACCCGTTAGTGATTCAGTTCTCTGGTTTCTTGCCACCGCCGTCACTCCGCTGCCAAACACTTCGCTGTGTCTGCACTTCTTTTCTAAATCCCACCCAACTGATGCAACTCACTGCCTGTTGCATGTCTGTAAACCTCTTTCTTTCCTAGGTTTTAAACGGCCACTTTGTCCACTACTTCGCCCCCAAAGACCTGCCGGCAGTGCCCAAGAATGTGGTGTTTGTGATCGACACCAGTGCCTCCATGGTGGGGACGAAGATCAGACAGGTAAAGCAGCACACTTAGAAAGGTTATCTAGACATCTGTTTGGAAGCTAAAGCTGCTGGAATGTGTTAACAAGTGTTGTTTGTCTTAAGTGATCTGTGTAGGGTTTCCACTCTTAACCAGGAGAACGCTTTGGGATTTTACTAAAAACTCCCATTATGTTTGATATATCATAGATTTTTAAAGGTTTTAGGTTTTTAACAAATGCTTTTTTCTTACCTTTAAGGCCGTCATACAAAGCAGATACAACGTTTTATCGCCTATATTTCTATTTTAAAGTTAATTTATAGAAGCAATTGAATTTTGGGAATCTGTTGCATCCACACTGAAGGCTGAAACATTTGGGGTATTTTCACATTAAAGTTTTTCTAACCCTATTGCAGAAAAAAGTTTCAGCTTACTTTTCCAGAGTGATAAAGTTATTCCGTGACTCTGTCTTTAAGCAGAATTTCAATGGCTGTATCAGATCAGAAACCCTACACCCCACCTCCACCCTCCCACACTGGAATATCAATATCAGACCTTTTTCCTCCATCTGCAATAGCACGATAATCCCCTCGGCGAGACTAACAGCTGATCTCTGCAGCTGCCATGAGCGCAGAAACAGAGCAGAGAAAAAACAGATTTTCAGTGAGAAAGAAAAAAGTGGAAACATACAGCACAAGGCCGTGTTGTGAGGGAGGAAGGTCAGTGTCTATGGGGTAATGGAACTTTTTAGACAACAGCACCCTCGACCCCTTGATCCAATCCCCCACCCTTCGCCTACCCCCAGCGAGCCACAGGAACAGAACAACAAGTGTGTTTGACGTGGCTCCACAATAGAGGGTTTCAGTGTGGGTCAATCTGTGGTTCTGACCCCTGCTGTATACAGCCCTTATAGACATTGTAAACCCCCCAGTGCCAAATTATATATCACCCACGCTCAATGCAGCAAATATGCTGACATTCTAAAGCTCCATAACAAAAAAGTAGGAAGAAGTCTGTATACTTTTCATGTCTTTTTTTATTTACAAAGACACATTTGAAGCATGATATCTTAAGTTTCAAGGGTCAACATTTATGGTTTAAGCTATAAATGGAAACAGTATAGTATTAGAAGGGCACTCAGGGAACCAGGATATCCACATAGGTAGTTTCCCAAAGTGAAAAGTAACGGTGTACCACAAGATATGGATCGACTCGAAAAATGGATTGGGTTCTTTCTTGGACCGATACTACACTGTTCATACTGTATACAGAACAGAAAACAAACCCCTCGTTGGGGCAGTTCATGATGATTTAAAAAGGTATAACGCTGAATCATCAGCAAACAATCAAAAACCTACGGTGCGGGTGGAGAACATTGTGATGTTTCCGATCAATTGTGTCTGCATGAATGCAAGGATTACTGTCTAAATGGCCAGACAATGGCAAATACAACTGCAATGAACAGATGAAACAGTTGCATGACCAAAGACAAGGGGCAAAGAATTACAATCTTAGACTTAAACTCAAATGTCATTCAACATACAGTTTAAGGAGAACCCTAGTCTTCTTCTGTGGGTTGGATTGACACAAGGTTCAATTATTTATCTTTCTTTTTCAGACTAAAGATGCTCTGTTCACCATTCTGAAGGATCTGCGACCTGGCGATCACTTTAACTTCATCAGCTTCTCCAACAAGATCAAAGTGTGGCAGCCGAATCGCCTCGTACCGGTGACGCCGCTGAACATCAGAGATGCCAAGAAGTTTATTTACATGATGTTGCCCACTGGAGGTCATTATTTTCTTTATGGTTTTTCCTTCTTCTCCACAGTCCCTATACTTTTGAGAGCAAAGTAAACAGATTACATTTAAATATCTAGACAGAAAAGGATTATCTGCATTGAATGACACTGTGGGTTTAAAGTGGAAAACCACTTGTTTAAGGGGTGTGTGACCTCCAGGGCTGGCCATTAAATCTTCAAGTTCAACTTATTGACTGTACTTCCAATCCTTAAATAGGATTTGCCCTTACATCTCCTCACTCACTGCAGGCACAAATATCGATGGTGGCATCCAAACTGGTTCCGATCTGCTTCGTGAGTACCTCTCAAGCCCTGACGCCGGCCCGAACAGCGTCTCCCTCATCATATTCATGACGGATGGACGGCCAACGGTAGGAGAGATCAAGCCCACAGCGATATTGGGAAACACTCGCTCAGCTGTGCAGGAGAAGTTCTGCATCTTCACCATCGGGATGGGGAATGACGTGGATTATCGCCTGCTGGACCGCATGGCTCTGGAAAACTGTGGGATGATGAGACGCATCCCTGAGGACGCAGACGCCAGCGCTATGCTCAAAGGGTAAGAGGGTCCTCTTTATATCAGTCCAGTCTATTGAAGCAATATTTCTTCCATTAAAGGCCATGTGATATTTCCAAACATAATTATTTGTATAGGATAGGAATTCATAATTTCCCATATGCCAATATGGATTTGTAAAAATGGCGACCAATTTGGCAATTCCTGATCATCCCACCCGAGAGTTGACATAAACTCAAGATAGTAAAGACATGTTCTGAAAGTTGTCTTGGTTTGATCCCTTGAGGGGCTTTCTTTTTTGTATCCACCTTCGCTGCTTACTGTAACGCGTTTGCATTGAAATTGCCAAAACTTGCTGATGATCAAACAGGACTTTGGTATGAATCACCTACTAGATATTAGGTGTTTTTAACAAACATTGAAAAGACATAAGATGATATCAATGACTTTAACCTTAAATACTTCATTATTGTCAAATTGACCCTTAAATGTGTAGAATCTGCGTCTTATTAGCTCCCCTTAATCCCTCCCCTCTGACACGTCCCTCCATCTTTCATCAAGTTATGAGTGAACGAGGACCGCAAATGTGACGGTGCTGACAACAGTCCTCTTTAATCAACTTCAAAATAGGAAAGCCACAGACTACAACAGTCAGTCTTTTTCTCTCTCAATTTTCTTCCCTATCCTTTACACACAACCCTCTTCCGCACTCGGACACACAAAGTGTTTGTTCAGCAGAGCAGGAATGTGTGTGTGTTGTCAAACCTGCATCTGAGTGTGTATGTGGGGTTAACAGATAGACTCCTCAGATAATAGCCCTCGTCCTGCTTGAACAAACATGCTGTTTAAAAGGTGAGGAGGTTTACTGCGGTGTGACTACAAGGATAGGACAGGGGAATTGCACACACATACACACATCCACAACCTTTGCTTTATACACACTCTCTAATGAATGTGTGCACAAACTCTGAAGTGGGGTGGAAGCAGCCTTGAGAGGTTAGACGAGCAGGTTTATGGCCGGAAGATGGTTCGTTTGAATACTAGACATTTGATGAAACGTGGTATAATAGGCTTCTATTTTTGCTGCAAAAACTACCGCTGATGTGCCCTTGAGCAAAGCACTTAACGTGACTAAAACAACAGAAACAGAATAGACCAGGTGGATGTCAGGTTTCGGATACTGTGTGCATATGTGAACAAATAAGTACAAGAAATAAGGCTGACAACATTTCTGAGCGAAATGTATGTCAGAACAGCCCCGCAGAAAAGTATCTATTGTTATGTTTCTACAGAATAATAGAAAGGAGAAAATAACTATAATGCATGAAATCAACTATTAAGGAAATTAACGATCTAAGCCTATGTGGAAAACTTTTACAACCTTTAAATTAGCATTAATTTGGCTGAATTGGTGCTTGAGAGTTATACAGTAACATTAGCATAGCCCTCAGGTGAAGGGGCAAAGGAGCATACGAGTGACTTTGGGAGGTACTGACAAAGAATGAGAGCCAGCTTAAAAGAATTTCAGGCTACAACAAAGGAATGACCTCTTATGTCTTTTTTACCACTTTTCCTTGACATTGATGAAAAGAGTCATCAGATCAAGGAAAGGAAAAGACAACTTTTGTGCTAAACGAACTCACACATACACTAGGCTACTTAATTATGCAATAACAGATCTTAAAAACATTATTCAACCTCTCCTCGTTCCTCTACAGGTTCTACGATGAGATAGGAACTCCTCTACTGTCCGACATCAGGATCAACTACACAGAGGACTCGGTCCAGTACGTCACTCAGCATCTGTTCACCAACTACTTCAACGGCTCTGAGATTGTCATCGCCGGCAAGCTTACCAACGACAGCGTGGAATCGCTCCACGTCCAGGTTACAGCGAGCAACAATGACAAGAACATCATCCTGGAAACCGACATACCTCTGCGGAACCGGCAGATCGAGACTGAGAAACATGTGAATGCAGCCAGAGTAGCAATGGCGTCTGGCCCTAAAACACCAGCGTCAGGGGTCACACATGGATTAGGAATTGCTTTGGGTTCGATAGCGGAGGACTTTGTGGAGCGCGTCTGGGGTTTCCTGAGCGTCAAGGATGGGCTACGGTCACGTCTACGCAGCCAAACTAGCAAAGAAAGAGAAGACCACATCAAGCAGGCAACCAATCTTTCTCTGACCTACAACTTCCTCACCCCCCTCACCAATATGGTGGTGGAGAAGCCTGAGGTCCTCGCTGATGGCACCATGGCACCGACGCCAACCAGACCCCCATCATCTGGTGACGCTGTCTCAACTGTCAATGAGCTGCCAAGTGACGCAGAGGATGAAGAGCCACAGAGAGACAACAAAAAGTCAAGCAGTCAGAATCTATCTCTAGGCAACAAGATAGGTAAGGTCGTTCTTCAAGTTCTGGTAGTAAGAGGTATCCAAAAACTGTCTAAAGGGGGATTCAAACTGAAATGGTTTTGGGAATGAAATCCTCACGGTGGATCTGATAAGTTGGTCATTTGCAGAGAACAGCAAGAGCAGTACTAATGAGTTAAAACTGTGACTGAGTTAAATGGCTGAAAAACAAGTATTATAATACAACATGTATAGCCATAATCTGCTAGCAAGGTTAGCTGCTCATGGTAGCCTAGTTTAACCAAACTGGGGCTAAAAGGGTTAGCTTAGTGAGTGTTTAGGGGTGGGAGTAGGTTGTTCTGTAAGTGAGAACCAATACGTTTCCATGATTTTTTTAAACGTAATTCAGCTTGGTCACATTTGGGAGCCATTTTAATTGTTTGCAATCCAAGCTAACTACATCTTTGTCCTCTGCAAAGGTAAACATTACAAACTTTTGAGAGCCACATTTCAGAAAAAATGAAAACAACTAACAAACAAATATGGAAGATGTTGAGAGGAAGCCTCAAACAATGGCTGCCATCTCAATCATTGCAATGGTAATTTTTCCTTGCAGGTAAAGTTGAGAGAAGACCAGACAAGAAATCCATCACCGTCTCCAAAACATCAGGTGACTCATCATTCCCTCTCTCATGTAAACAGTTTTACATCTGATGGCCTCTGAACCCTATATACCATAAGCACATATGCCGTGGTTAAAAGACTCCAAAAGGAGACTTGAAAGAGAGAAGAGGGGGAATGTACAGTAGACTCTCTCTCTAAACTCTGTGTGTGGGCGGCCTGTAATTTGGATGTTAGTCAGACAGTCTAAATTTAAAAGATGCCTCTGAACATGACCTGAAGAGGAACACACAGGGTCTAATTGAAATACCAACACCAGCACTACCTGGCACTTTAAACATGCAAGTGCGTGTCCAGCAACGCACACACTGCGGTCGAATGGGACGGACTTAAGACATGAGAAGTGGATGCTGTTTGTGCATGTGTTACAGCAAAGAGAGGGACCCCATCAGAGGCAGTAAGTGAGGGCTAATGACCCCCTCATTACTGTGGTTCTCAATTCATCTTCACTGGTTCTCACAAGCCTAAGGAGAATCCAGCAAAGATATATAAACTATCCTATGAAAACCAATATGAACTGCTTAGAAACATTACCAAATTAAAGAGCTGCTTGTGAGACATTTACTTTCTTATATTAGGTAGAGGTTTTACAGAATTGTCAAAAGATTAAAGTGATGAGTCTTATTGGTCAGAATCAGAATGCCTTTATTAGTCCCATAGAGGGGCATCGTTACAGCAGGAAAGAGCCACAGACAGCTTAATGTTACATATGTTAAAAAAGTACTAAGTTATGATATAATAAAAAATATAATAAAAAAATAAAAGTAAAAAAAAAAAAATACAAATGAAAGCCTAAAGGTGTCAAACATTGTATAAATGATATACTTTATGGTAAGTGGAACAACTTGCAACATCCATCTTCCTTTTTGCGGTTTTAGAATGCACTTTAATATTTCTTTCTCTCTCTTAACCTTTAAACGTCCTCAGCTGACGGTGACCCCCATTTTGTGGTGGAGTTCCCGATGAGTAAACTGACGGTTTGCTTCAACATCAACGGAGAGCCGGGACACATCCTGCGCCTGGTGTCCGACCACAAGAACTCTGGTAAGACATCCACAGATTAAACCATTGTTTCACATTAAAAATATAATTATATTTGCATTGGGTGCGGACTGCCAATGTGGAAGCGGTACTGAGGAACTAAATATTAAACACAAAAATGAAAATACTTTGGTAGAGTACCTGCAGTACTTAAGTAAATGTATTTTGTTACATTCCCCCACTGGTTAGATGTTCTTTTCTGGTATTTGTCTACAGGTGTGACAGTGAACGGTAAGCTAATCGGTGCCCCAGCTCCACCCGGCAGCCACAAGAAGCAGCGCACGTATTTCAGCACCATCACCATTGTGGTGGATCTTCCGAAACGCGCCTACATCGAGGTGACCCCTAAGAAGGTCATCCTGGACGGGCGGGACCGGATGGTACTGCCCTGCCACTCCACAGTGTCGGTGGACAGCGGCGTTCTGTCAGTGTCCATCGTGGGAAAGTCTAACGTGACGGTGACGGTCGGAGGAAACGTCATGTTCGTGATTCTGCTGCATCAGTACAAGAATCCAGCCTCATACCAGAGGGACCATCTAGGGTTTTACATCGGAAACAGCAAGGGGCTGTCGCATCAGTGCCACGGCCTGCTGGGTAGGAGACAATGAGCTTTAATTATTGTTTTGACTGAGCGTTTGGTAGGACAGATATGATCCATCATTTATTTTCATTTAACAATAAAAACAAAGCGTAGAGCCCTAATTTCAGCTCATAAAAGCAAACTTGTAGGGTATATCAGACAATATTATAGCGTCAGTAAAGTGCCACAGGATCCAGTAATATAAATATGATTACGAAAAAGGTTATGAGTTCTGTTGAGTAGTGTTCAATTGGGGTGGACTTGTATTAGTTTTTGCTGAAAGAAATATTTATTTAGTAGGTAAAGCCAAGACATGGGAGGTAGACCACCTAAGCGTACATGTGACAGATGACGATTCATCCACTGAAACCATGGTGTTTTTCTTGAATCCACCTTTATTGCCAGTGATGGATTTCAGTTAAAAATGCTGAATTGAATGTCAAATTGCAGAACTGTATTTTCCTACAAGCAAATTGACACCAAATCCAGAGGTAACTGGCTGACCTTCAAAGACTCACATCAGTCAAACTCTGAGACTTGAACCTTTGATTCATTTCTTCTTTCAGGTCAGTTCCTGTATGAGGAGGTGGGCCTGGCAGAGCTTCCTGCGGAGGCAGACAGTGAACCGTCGCCCGTCCTGAAGGTGAAGGAGCGCTCTGTGCCGGTGGTGAAGAAAAACCGGAGGATCTTCAGCGGCACTCAGAACGTGGACTGCTGGTTCGCTCGCAACAATGCAGCCAAGCTGATAGACGGACAGTACGAGGACTATTTGATGTCACACATGTTCGACACGGGGGACTGGCCACACGGGACCAACACAGCATAAACTGTAGCATCCATATTTTTTACTCTGTATCCATATCACATCTCAGCAGATATTTCCAAACTTCACATTTCAGTTTTCTGTCTCACTTTTGAATATATTTTTGTACTATTTCTAATGAAAATGTAATGTTTTATATTGTATTATGTGTATTATTTTTTGTGTAATATTGTTATTGTAAATAAAAAACAACTAAACCCACATGCAATGATTTTACTTTGGTGTAAAATGGTGCCCACATTAACACATTAAGGGGAAGTAAATTGTAAAAAAGTATAATATAGAGTAAAAACTATTTTTTATGGAAAAGCTTAAAAGAAATCTAAATACAAGACTTTTTTTAAGTGTGCATTATACCAGAATGTAAAGCTGAAAAGCTGTGCAATTAAAAAAAACATGTTTTTTGCACCCATCTGGGAATGCATGTTTTTCTCACACCCCAAATATGGATGTCAGCATTCCCCAAACGTGGCGACATCGAGGTAAGGATCACACCTGGTTACCACGGGGACTGGTAACAACCCCCTTGTCCCAGCGCCAATGACTAGATGCACGGCTAACACACATAAACACACAAACAGCTCCATGGAGCTCCCTGTCATCAGCTGCAGGTCACAGGGCCGATGGCCCCGCCCACACAGGTGTGCTGTGGCCAGGTACATGCTCAGGATGTCTGTCATCACACTGCCCCCCCCCCCCCTCCCCTGTTGCACCCGCAGGAATTCAACACCAAACGCCAGCTCATGTGTCAATCATCTTTATTCACAGAGCAGATTAAAGAGATTCATTCGGCACTTTCTGTTATTGACAGGGCGTGCCTTTTCATACACATGTTCATCATTTAGTTTATTACAAAACATACACAAGGTACAATGGAATACAAAATAAAACATTCAGCCAAAGTATGTCATACCTTTTGGCTTGTAAGACGTAAATGTGTTCAGGAGAATTATTTTTCCACCTTTTAAAATACTACCATTTTGGATATTCACAAAAAAACGTCCAATGTTGTTACCACATGTCGAACCACAATTTACTGTAGAATACATACAAAATATAAACAGAATAAATGCAATAAATGTGCAATAATTTGCAAGAGTTTAATACACAGCTACAGTATGATCCCACTGAGAGCATTACAAGTATTAGGGCAATTCTTAATGCAGAAGAAATCTGAGATTTTAAGAATAAAGTCTGAATACTTTGAAATGAGTTGGAAATGTTAGAGGTGTGATTTAAAAAATAAAATCTAACAAAACATACATTTAAAAAAAAGAATGTTTTAAAAGAAATATGCTTATTTGCATTCTTGCCAAAGACTGTTACCATCTATATGGCATATCTGATAGTTAGAAATGTGGTGACAGTCAGAAGTTTGTTAGCTTAGCATAAAGATTGTAAACCGTGGAAAACCGCTAGCCTGCTTCTTTACAAACGTAGCAAGTTCAGAAAGCCAAGATATAGTCCCCTATGTACCTCACATTCAGGGAACTGACGCTGAAATATTACATTATTCTAGAAAGATCCAGAATGATTTCCCCTAAAGAATCATGACATTTGTCTCGTGCAGTTATGACTTTATAATCCCAATGTTTCCTTGTCAAATTGGGATTTTCTTTTCTTTAAAACATTTCTAGCTTTTTGGCAAAATGTCCCTACATTATTCAAAAGCAATAGGGGGTTTCTTCCCAGATATGAACATAAATGCAGCACATAGTGTGACCTGGTCCTTTAAACCTTTTAAAGATGATTACATTTCCTTCGACATATATAAAAAATGTTTAAAAGCAACCTGTTGGATAAGGCTACGTTTTTCCATAAAACCACTGCTTTCAACATGTTTGGTCCTTCATGATTGCAGCACCCAAACACAAATCCACATAGGCTTCATAGGTTTTATCGTTAAAACTATTAACCTCTTTTTTTAAACTAAAAGTAAACAGCCGGAGGGAGAGCACGCCGGAATGACTATAATCACACCTTAATTAAAAGGTGGATTAAAGTGATTATATTTGACAGAGTGAAATGTTATATATGAATACTTTGCTCACCTGCTCTTCTTTGGAATATGATACACGATAAATTATTCTCTTTAGGGCAACATCAATCCCAAAAGTCCCCAGCGTGGAGATAGATTTATTTCAGTCTTTGTCATTACCCCCCGCGGCGCTGCCCTCCTTGATAATCTCTCTCCACACACGCTCAGTTGTGGTTACTCAGATGTTCTCTTGCAGCAAACAGAGGCAGCAAGGTGAGAGGATGAAGAGCTTCCAAAAAATGCTATAAGATGTACATGCATACACTGAGTAAAGCTCAGAGCAGAGGAAGGCAGCTGAGGCTTCCCATTCACAGGTTATACGACCTTTAATTGTGCCTTCTCTTACCTGGAAGCTGATATTTAGAGCTTTGAGGAGTTAAGGAAGCCAGGTTTGTTTTGGGTTTGCTCATATTTAGGCTCTTAAGAGTGTGTTGTGTGTGGATAGCGTCACCTGGGGTTACACCACCACCCAACTGGGCCTCAGCGGTCCTCCAGAATACTGCACGTGAGGAAGTGGTCCGCTATCGTCTTCCTCCCCCTCCGAAGCCTCGTCTGTGTCCGTCTCCACGCTCAGCAGCACCTGAGGGAGCAAAGAAGATGTGTTCAGATCTCTTACTTCCATTACTTTGTAAACTGCTGCTGGATTCAGAGTGGATTGATTCGTTGATTTGTATTGCGTACTAGCCAATAATCTGAATCTGTAAAGTAACTAAAGCTGTCAGATAGGTGCAGTGAAGTAAAAAGTACAATTTCAGCATCTAAAAGGTAGTGGAGTAGAGGTATAAAGTAACTAGGATTAAAGATACTCAGGTACAGAGAACAAGTACATCAAAAAGGTACTTAGTGAATGAAAGGGTCTTGTAAGTTAAATACTGTCAGTAATGCTGGGAGTTTAGACCCTGCCTATAACTTGTAAGAAAGTTAAAATGTTCCACAGAGGGGATGGTGGTATCTGCTTTTTGACATGTATCTAATGAAATAAGCGTCAACATTTCACAAAATGTGGACTAGACCACAGACAGGCATTGGATACAATACAGCAAAGGTTTCATCAATACCTTTGTCCATCTTTGTATCAGTTAAACAGAGGAACATATATTGGATTTATTTGCAGCCTGGAAGAAGCTCTGCTGCAGCAGCAGGGATTCAAATCCCAAAGGATAGAAATTCCACAACTATATAACGTTTACGGCATCATAAACCTCCATATGTCGTTTTATGTTTGGGTTTGACATGTGGGAAAGATCATATAAAGACTGAGTTGCAGAGCAGAACCAATTCAGATAATCGGATAAAGAGAAAACGTGCAAAAATGTCTCATACACAGCATACTAGCACTAGGGATGCAATAATTCAGATCTTCACAATTGGTACATTTTTTTTTCTTTCTCAATGTCTTTCTCAATGTTATAAAAAACACATTTTATGCAGTTTTCTTATTTTTAAATTATTTTCTTTTATATATATATATTTAATATAATTTATACAATTAATTGTTTTATTTAGAAAAGGTTTGGCACATTAATCAACAATAAAATAATCATTAGTTGAAGCCCTAAAGCAACACAAAATGTACAAAATGCATCATGCACTTATGGACTGTATTTAAGTCACTTTATGATTGCTAATATGTCTTGAATTTTAAATGAATCAATGCAGGGGGGATAAGCGTGTGTCGCGATTGACTTTCTTCCTTGCAACAAGCTGCACACCCAGCAACAACAACAACAGCATTGTGACTTTATCTTCGCCCACCATCCCCACTGAGACCTCTTCTGAGAGAAAGCCCCTCTATGTGTCCTCCTCTTCTACTTCACCCCACTTTCCATAGCATCAGCGCATGGAAACAAGTCCTAAAGGTCACTTTTATTCCCGGGATGAAGGCTGGATTTATAGCTGACTGGCAGAGGATAAGGGAGAAGGAAAGAGAAGGGGTGGGGGGGTAAACACTCGCCCTCTTAACACGAGGGTCATGCTCCCAAACTGTAATTTGTCCTGATGTCTGTCAGTTACATCTGAGGAGCGAGATAAATGGCTTCTGTGTGGAGGAGGAGGGGGCTGCTGAAGTGAGTCCCTGAACACAACACCAGGCCTGTCACTGTTTCACAGCTAAACCAGCACTCAAACCAAAACAGGAGCCGATTGAAAAGTCTGAACAGGTGCGATGCAACAGTAATATTCTAGTTAGACTACAGCGGTTTCCAGGTACTTTTGTAGAATTTCATCATTCTCTATCTCTTTCCCTTTGTTTGTATTCGCTGTAATCTATACAAACAAATAAAAAAGGCAAAGATATTCCTTTGATTTACTTAAGTAGAGTGGTGCAGGAATGAGTCCTAAAACCTGGGAATGGATTAGCGTTTTAGCTTCCTCAAGTGAATGTATTTTTTTAATGGGTGAACAGTATACATGTTTTCATTCTTACAAGGGAATGTAACCTCGAAAGTGAACACGTGTGTGTGCGTGAGGGTGTGTATTTGTGTGTTTTATTCGTACCCGTGACTCCTCGCTGTTGGCCCAGGGCAGCATGTCACCCTTCTTCACGTCACAGGAGTCGTCCAGGCTCTTCATCGTTTTGTACTTCCTCATCATCAGGCTGTCCACCACCCAGAACATGATGGACTGAAGGGGGGGGGTGTAATGTAACGTGATGTAGTTATTACAAATATTGACATATAATACAAGGCAATGTGGCAACTAGATAATGAAATTGAATACTCACGTTAACTATGAATGGCACAATGAGCATGACCAGCACCAGCTCCAGCTGAGGACTAGCAATGTAGCCTAGCAACACCTCCTGCAGCTGGAGGAGAAGAGAGGAGAGATTAACACTGACATCAGGTGATTCAAAGGTGCTGAGGGAGGAGAAGCTCTTGTGACGATTAACTAACTTTTGGTTTCAATAAAGAGCCTTTGGGTACCATAATCTAACAGTGGTTATAAAACATAACAAACCTTATATTGTTCAATCTACTTCGCTTCAAGTCATGGGGCCATGATGAATAACACGCCTTTTATTCCTTACAAGGTAATCTGTTGCTGTGACAAAGATTAGTTTGAATAGACAAATATGAACCCCAGTGTCACAAACCATCTTACAAATACATTAACATATAGCCTCTACGTTTGCATTAGAATTTAAAATGTCCTCCACTGGTTTTTTAAAAGTTACAATAAAGAAAAGAGACCCCGTTATTCAGTTGAACTTAAGTGGAATTCTACGCATATTCTCCCATTTCGTCCTTTGTTTTTGTCAGAAAGTCTATAGGATTTCCCCCCCTGCCACCAGTATGTAATGTCACTGGTAGTCGTATTTCCCATAGCACCTGAAAGCAGCATGAGTTGCTCTTACTTTGGACCATCCGGGGACGAGCAGCACAAGGCTGATCACCCCTTTCTCCAGCACCATGATGAGCAGGTAGATGCCGCACTGACCGAGCCACGCTGCCGCCTGGGGGGGGTCCCCTGCAGGAGAGGGGGGGGGGGGAAACATCAGATAAACCTCATATATATATATTTATAAAACGGACAAGTAAAATCAAGCAATCTGATTGGTTCTTAGCCGTGATATACTAAGCGTATACCACGGGTAGAATTGTAGTTACTTTTCACAACAAGTCAGTATCCCTCCGCGTCTGAGAAATACTGTATACAGTTGGGCTGAAAAGCAAACCTCCTTTTTACGCAGCGGTCCAGACATGACATCAAACGGCAAAACATATTCAGTGTGCAGTTCCTTTGGCATTAGGGCAGGGATATCTAGACACTTTCCAAGGTATGACATAATGACTTGAGCTACTTTTAAAGCAAGCAACGATTTTTCAAATCTGTAATCAAAAAGGTCCGCAAAAACGCTATCAACCAATCATATTGCTTGATTTGACTTGTCCGTTTGATAAATATACATTTCTTCCGTTACGAAACAAACTTACAAAGCATAAGATGGACACATTTAAGATTAACTTCGACCTTCGCTTCACTTCGGGCCGAACCACGCCCCTTAGCTGTGATATAATGAGCATATACCACGGCCTGTCGTGAGCTATTGCTTAAATATATACACACTTATTATCATATTTCAAGGGAATTCTGCCAACATCACTACCACTTTATTTAGTGAAATTATACATTCCAATTGTACGTTTTTATTCCTTATTTATATTATTTATTTTACTTTCATTTTATTAACTTTATTGAATAAACAACTATAAATATTTATTATATAATATTATCATATTATTGACTGTGGCCAACCAGAATTATTACATTAAATTGTATTTATTTTCATTAAAAAGGAACATTATTCCTATATATAATATTATTTTATTTGGACAAATTGTTATTTTATATTTTCATATTATTATTTTATTAATATTCAACTCATAGTACTTTGATTACATTTTTGCATGACACATTCAGTATAAAAATCAAGGCTGATTTTATTTATTTTCTACTTAAAGCCGACTGCAAAATAATCTGTAACATTAACATAATGCCACTGAAACGCTTCACTTCAAACGACTATTCTCAAGATAAATAATGCATTTTGATGCTCTATTTAATATAATTTTAGAGAAGTAACAATGATGTATTCACTCCGGCGCAGGAGCTTCAGTTATCCAACTATCTAAACTCTTGCTTGTAAAATGATACTAACTGTTTTGCATCTTGAGTAGTATAAAAACCCGAAGCTTTCCAAAGGTAACACAGGTGTCTCAGCACAGCAGACACAAAAGAAGACAAGTCTGTCATTAAGACAGGAAGGAGGGAGGAGAAAGACACAAGGACAGAGAGAAAAAGGGGGAAAAGAAAGAAAAAACCAGTGCTCAAATATAAACTGGACCCTGGTAATAAGAGAAGCGTCTTAATCACAGACCTAATCAACCTCGTAAGTTGTTTTTGTGAAGTTTTCCGTCTCAGAAGGAAGGAATGCAAAGTCAAAAACAACAGTAGAGTGAGCTAGTGTAATAATTGGTGTGGAGTTAATCCCCCTCTGAAGACACTGGGGATGTTTTCCGGTCCAGAGGCAGCAGCTGGAGACTGGCTGTCCTCCCTTACTGCCCGCGGTGGGTCTCCAGCACCCTCCAGTGGCGGAAACTGTGACTCCTCTTGCATTATGGACTTTAAAGGTCACATATCATGCTATTTTTAGGCAATAGCATAGGTCTCAGATATATACAGAAATATAAAAAACATGTCTATGAAGTGTTTTGGTCAAAAAACCAAACAGATCACCCATTCTAGCCATGCCTCATATCCCTCCATTTCTCTTCCTGTTACAAAAGTGCTGATTCTGGGTATAAACAGGTCTCTCTTGAGAATGAGACCCTGTGTCTCAATGAGATTTGCACCTGTATAAATAAAGGCTAAAAAAAATAAAGCTTTTTTTTTTTTAAACTGAAAAAAATAAGAGGGGGCGGAGCTTATGCCGGCTCATACGGGACCTGGCAGCTACTGTCTAAACTAAATACTGCGGTGATGAAACGCCATATCATGGATTATCAAGGATTATTTCTGAAACAGTATGGAGCTCAAAGGCTTTCTCTCTTGCCGGTTATACCACAAGGTGAGTTCCTTTTTATTTCCTGCTTCTTCACACACATGCTCTCCAGTACAGGTTAGCTCTGAGTGTTAGCGATGCTAATGTCAACACCGACCATATTACGTCCAAAACAGTCGGGCATTGTTTCTGATAGCAACGTTTCTGATAGTGCTCTGGGTCTGCCGCCGATATTACGTCGTAACGGCCGCAAATCTGGATCAGCTCCGTTGTAGATTTGGGTACGGAGGAAAAGAGAGAGGGTTTTATTTTCCGACGCTGAGTGAATTCCCTGACACATATTTATGTATAAAAGACATAAAAAAGTGCATTTTGCATGATAGGTCCCCTTTAAATAATAGAAAACCGAAAGTAAAGCATTGAATTTAACTCACCATATTCTCCAAACATGAGCAGCGTCCACTGCTTGACCTCCACCAGTTTGGACACCAACTTCACGGCCAGCCAGAGGAAGAGCATCCCCAGCGTGGCGTCCAGCAGGAAGTTCATCAGATACCTTGAGGAAGAAAAATCAGAAATCACGTTCTCAGTGAGACCCGTGTAACAGTTGGACCTGATGGTACCATGACTTGTTTGAGCAGATAAGATAACTCACAGGGAGCATGGGTCCTCTTCAGTGAGCGTGGACAGGAAGACGTTAGCAAAGTGGATGAAAAGAGCACCGATGGCCTGCTTTGATGTGTCATAAAACCTAGAAAAGGGGTTAAAAAAAAGAATTATTTCATTAAATATGGTTTGTTGGGTTGTTTTGTTCACTTGAAAATACTAGGTTTTAGAAAAGGGAATGCAGACAGTATGTTCATTTTCGGTGTTATGTTTGCATTAACATCTATTTTTGATTGCCGATTATTTTAAAAATCTTCTGAAATAAGGATGATAAGGAAAGAAACGCAATAAAAACCTGACGATATTCACAAATGGCCAATATAAGATATATTATTGTCACTTGATGAATTTCTTACAGAAATGAGGGTTCAACCAACATTTCCTTTACTTTAAAATACTTTTCTCATCTATGCAAGTGTGTCTAATGTAAGAACGTAGGACAGGAAAGTGGAAGAAAAGAAAAGAAGTATTTCTGACCAGATTCTCCAAGGTCGTCTGATCCCTGAAGGCTCTCGGAACCTTTTCACTGCGAATAAAAAAAAGAGAAATCTATCACATAATCCATTTAGTTCCCACTAGACTTTCGTTTACACTGTAAAACCATCACATGGTGGTCAAACAAACAGCAGAGTGGGAGAGAGGACAGATGAAACACAGACATTCACATATCGTTATTTAAAGCTACCACAAAACGTGTTTCCAGGCCACCGGGCTCAGGGGGAACAGACGCTGACTGTTCCTCTATCTCGCCATCTAACAAGGTCGGAGAATGTGACTCGGCATGTGAAACAGGGGGGGGGGGGGGGCAAGGCTTCCTGCAGACGCGTGAACCAGCAGAGCTTTTTCAGTGCGCAGTTTAAATATATTCATACTTTTCTATACTTTTTCCCTGCAACTTCCTAAGGCAATTTAAGCAACATCAGCGGGATTCCTTTAAAGCTGAGACAATAAGATCATTATTCATCAGCAAATGTCAAATCAGTGAATAATTTAAGTCATTAATTAAGCACAACATTATCTGATTCAAGCTCCAATGGTAAATATTTGCTGCTTTTCTCTGCTTTAAATAATTGATAACTGAATGTCCTTGGGTTTTAGATCGTTGGTCCAATAATACAAGTAATGTGAAGATGTCCCCTTAGGATTTATAAAAATGTGACAGGCATTTCTCATTTAAAAAAAAAAAAATTACGTTTGTTCTAGACGATTAAAAAAAAACAACAACAGTAAAATGAATATAATCATTACTTGTAAAACTGTGGCAGCTTTACTAGATATTCAGCCTTTGTCAGGATTATGTGAGTGCAGGAATAATGACAAGTCAATGGGAGGAAATTCACAAAAAATAGCTTTGAGGAAGAGCACGCTAAACACAGATAAGTAAAGGGATGCAGGCTGGGCTGTGACTGGGCTGTGACTTGGCATACCTCCACTGTGAACAGAGCTGAAGGGCTCTGCTGCACACTATAATTGGTATAAATATTAACCGAAGCATATGCTTTGACCAGGAACAACACTTGTGATCGTGCTGAGAACAGGAAAAGAAAAAAAGAGAGGAGGAGGGGTATTGATTTTGCCACTAATAAGTAACTGAGTGGAGGTTAGAGCTCATTGATCTCAATCACCGTAAAGGCCTGATTATGCAACACTTCACTGCTGCTAGGATTATTTTGCTCTGAACCCAGCTAATTAAATATCCATGACTACATTGACCTTTTAAATATACACTCCAATTATTAAATCATATGCCGACACACTCACCAAATGAGTGCACAGGCATTTACATGTATGTCCTTTCCATGTAGCATGTTGGCATACAGCATTGGCAAAGGTTAATTGACATTAAGCATGTTGACAAGCTCTGTATTCAGACAAAAGAAAAACGTATAACATATGTAAGCTTATATTTAGAGTAATTTGCAAGTACTGCCTGTGTTGGCAAACGGGTAAGATGCTCAACATTCTCCAAGTCAGCTGCCACAGAATCACAAGTTACTTGGCAGTCAATAGCCTTTGTTCAGAGGAGATCCACACTTCGGCTGTAAAGAGGGAGTTGTTTTGTTGTTAATGCATGAACTCTAAAACATTGTTAAAGTACTTGTACAATTTCGTACAAATTCGGCTTAAAGTTATGGCACAAACCGTGCGTTTTTATATTACAAATATGCACATGAAGAAAGCATTCACACACATCGCTACCGCTGATACCACTAGTAATTTGTGGACGTGGTAGATGTTTTGAGGCGATGGAATTGAACAAAAACGGTCAAATGTAATCATAGTTATTTTTACAGCACATCATTTATGCCCAATTTAACAAAGAACCTTTATTAACCAAATGATATAAAGAAGTGTTTAATTTGGGCATATATTTGTTCATTCGTCATATTAAATTAGCATATTTGACAATGGAATTTGGTGCAATGTTAATGATGCTCAAACGTCAACAAATCGCCACGTGGATTAATAAAGCCTTTTAAAAGCAAGTTTCTACACTATTTGGATGAATCCTCTACCTGAATAAAGACAGCAACACTATGAAATTGAGGCTGTTAAAGATATATGTATTGATACTCACACATCAGCGTACTAAAGGCAACGATAGCCAGCAGTCCCTGGATCAAGACTCCGAATCTGTCCGTTAGAGCTCCGTTATCGCAGCCGTGGGGATTCGCCTTGTTGATATCAGACATGTTTGTGACTTCAGAAACGCCATTATCCAGGAATCTTCTCACCAAGAAGACCCCGCTGTATCCGTACATGTCCATGTTGATAAAAACAACACGGAGACAAAAGGAGCTCCGTAGGTGGGCTAAAATGGGCTTAACCTTTTTTTACTCGGGAAAAACAAAGCACTAAATGTCAATTTCCAGATTTTAATGCAAGGTAAAGTTCTCTTTTAATGTTCACATAGGGTGATGCTACATCTTATGATGCAAAAGCAGACAAAAGAGTCGATTATCTTACTCACATCCATGTTTTGACAACGAAAACACAAACTGTCAAGAAGCACCAGGGGAAAGCGAGCTTCCGGTTAAAAGGGAGATTTCAAAATAAAAGAGATCAGCTTATCAGAAAAGCAGGAAAACAAAGGAATGGGTTCTCAAGGTGTTTTACAAATAATACCTCATATTACAATTTCAAATGTCGGTATTAGAACTTTATTTTGAAATACAATTAGCATTACTTCCTGTTGTGGTTCGTTTAAGTGACGCTCGTCTGTGCGTATCGCAGTTGAATTCTGTGCGTCAGGCACTTGGTCTTGCATGCGCGCGAGAGAGCCCACGCACGATAAATCGTTGTCTCACGTGGAGATGTTATAAAGGAGCATTTTAGTTTTAAAACCTGACAGGTAAAGCTCAACCTCCTCCAAAGACTATATTTAAGACCTTTCATGAGATGGTGCAGTTATTGTATTCCCTATTAGTAAATCATCTGATTAATGCCAATTTAGAGATTTAGAGAGGATTATATAACTGAAGCCTTACAGGGAGAGAGCCAACATTAATGTCCAACTCAGTGATTATAGATATCATTGGTTTTAAAAATGCTCTGATTTGCCAGAGTAAGAAAAGGTTGAAAAAAATGTCATGGATAACATTTTGATTTGCATCATTATATCCTATTAATTTGAGAAAAGCAAAAGTTGTAGATGAATGAATGAGAAATTGTCATAATCTGGATTTACTTTGGCCCTGAATTGTCATTTATACAGTATATATCAAGCGTCTTTATAGTTAGATGGAGGGCGTCAATACAACCACATGCATTACATATACCTATATATATTTTACATTAATGTTAATAAACTGACATTACTGACTCTCCTTCAGCTGAAGATAGAACGTTTTGACATAGCTTGAAAATAAATCTTTTTTTGTATCTAATCCAATATGATTCCACCAGGATGTCTATCAGGTTATTTAAGTTTTTTTGAAGGTTTAAATATGATTTCAAAACAAGAAATGGTTATATGTAAAGCCAAAAGAAAAAACAAACAGGGAGGCTGCAAGCTCATGCACAAGTGTGTGTGTTTGTGTGTGTGTGTGTGTGTGTGTGTGTGTGTGTTTGTGTAGCCTATATAAAAGGGGGGGGGCATAATCCCTTCTCGTTAAAGCCTCTTCTCTGGCAGATTAATGGAGCAGTGCACACACTCCAACCATCTGTTCCTCGAGCGGCATCACATCGGCACGAGCTCCTCTTCTTGTATCTTTATAATATCTTTGTGTCTTTATGATTAAGCTCCACTGAAGCTTTTAAAATAAAATGCTTAATGCCGTTATGAGCAGTTTTGCCACTCTATTATAATAGACAACACTTATTTTGTAGCCCATTGTAGCCTATATGGAATATTTGGAGACTTTTTATTAACCTGGTTGGCTTCTGGGCCCCTTAAATTAAGCAATTTAGACAGAGATTAGTGGTTCATTTGAAATATATTTCAGGGTCGATTAAGGTTGTGCAATATATATATCAATATTGATATATTATATCAATATCGTGACATGAAATTATATCGTCGAAATCTTTAGTGTTGTTTTTTTACTGGTTTTAAAGGCTGCATTACAGTAAAGTAATGTCATGTTTTGAATTTACTAGATGGTTCAAGCAGTTCTATAATTTGCCTTAACCCACTTAGTTACTATATCAACATGATGATTATTTAGCATAATGTTCAATGTGTAAATATGTTGTGAAAGCATCAATGCTTAGCCACAATGTTACCACAACATCGATTTAGAGGTATTTGGTAAAAATATTGTGTGATGATTTTTTTTATCGCCCAGCCCTAGATCGAGGTATCAATTAGCCAATTTCACATTAAGCGTCACCCATTAAGCCTAAAAGTCAACATATTTTTGCTGAAAAAAACGTTTATCCTGTCACTTATTATCCCCAAGATGACCGCTAGTATTTTGAGGATCCTTAATCAGTGCCTACAGTATAAACATGACTTTCACATATTCAAACCATATTTATTTTCAGAAATGCCATAGAGAGGTATTTGATATATTGCAAATAGGTACTATATACTCATATGGATCTTTTGTTTCTTGCAAATTAGACCAGGTGTGTCACAAACAAACCACCCTGGGTATAAGACTGAAACGCAGGGTTTTTTGTGTGAATTTTTAGGGGATTCCCAGCCAAATATGTTGTGTAACACAACATATTATCCTCAATGTCCAATATTTGGTCACACTTGCCAGTCCATGAATCTCAGAAGTGAACTTCATGCATAATGAAGAACATGAAACCTGATTTAGAAAGTGCCCTTCAACAAACCTCGTGTTTTACCAGAGGTTATCACATGTGTGCGTTTCACTTTCTGTTGTCAGATGGAATTAACCCCAAGAGTTCAGCGTCAAAACGTTCATTAAACTTGAACTTTTATTGTATCTCCCTTGGCCTAAGTTATCTGTTTGTGTTGGTCATATTGTGGAAATATGTAACAATGACCTTTGAACCAAAGGCATGTACATGTGGTGCAATGCACTTCTACCACTAGAGGATACTGTTGACTTTTTTTTAGACATAGCCCCATTAAAATAACTAAATCTCAGAGTTTTTCTCCGAAAAATTAAATTGTGATAACCCAGATAAAGAAGAATGTAGTGGTCAAAAGCAAATTGTTATTTAAGATAATAAATTATTGACTTTTTAAGCTTATTGTGCATAAAAGCAGCTAAAGATGAAGGGTCAGTTGTGTTGCTTATAGTCAGCTTTTTATATTTCTTTAAAATATTACAACTCTCATTGTTGATTCTATGATTATTCATATTTTTCTTCCTGTTAATAAAAAAACGGTTTATTAAAGGAATATGTTAGCAATGAATGCCTTTAATGACAACAAAAATTACTTAAATGTAAGATATAAATTATGCTAAATTGATGGATATATTTATGTAGATACTTAGGTTATATCTGAACAAGTCTTATTATGTGTAAGAATTTTAAACATCGAAACATTATGTAACATACTGTTTTTCTCTTTGTGTGTATGGTTTGCAATTGAACTTCACTTACCATTTTAAAAACAGACTGAATAAATATATTTCTTTGTGCTGCTTCTAAACTAAAGGCAGTGATGGAAAGTTACAAGGTACATTTACTCAAGCACCATCATTAAATACTGCTTTAACACAATTGTGCTTTCTTTGAGTATTTCCATTTATGCTAATTTATACTTCTACTCAACTACATCTCATAGGCAAATAGTGTACATCTTACTAAAAGCTTGAGCTACTTAACATATTCAGATTAATAGCCAATACAAAATATACATATCAATTGACATAGTTTTAGGTTAAGATATACACAAAATAGTACATCTAGCTCCAGCTTTACAATTGTAATCATCATAATTAAGTAACTCAATATGTATCGTTCTGAAATAAGACACAAAACAGGTACTTTTACTTTTGGTACTTTAAGTATATTTTGATGCCAATACTTTGTACTTGTGGTATAATACACAGCTATCCTCTTTGTGTGTTTGGCTTTGTTGGCGATTGAACGTCACTTCCTTTTTTTGCCTGAATAAAAATATTTGTTTGTGCCATAAAAAGATCTGTGAAGGAGTTGGCTTCAAAATAGCTGTTTAGTTTTTGCACATGCGCAGAAGGGAGATGCCATATTGAAACGGGGGCAGCAGCTGAAAGACGTCGCTCGCGCTGCTGTGCTCGAGGAGAGGGAGAGAACCGAGGGGGTCTCGTGAAGGAGAGGCGACACACAAACTTGGACAGGTAAGACAGGTGACCCCTGCACGCGCTGCTATGTGGAACCTTTCACGTCGTTTTCTACGATTAGTTTTTTTCGGTTTGTCGAAGGAATAAACACGGGGAGAGTTATTTCTCTCCTCCTTGGCTAAAAAAAAGGACCGAGGCTGTTTCTGTAGAAACGAGAGAATAGTCGCGAGCGTGTTCACGAGCCCAAGTTGACCAAAGTGTGTCTCACGCGCTGTAATTAACGCTGTCTCAGGGAATTCGTGAAAAATATTGCGTTGTTTTTCCTCACATGTAATTGAATATTTGGGTATATTTCCACAACATTTACATTTATAATATCATTTTAATGTATACATGTTGTGTCTAAATACCACGACGAATTTTTGTTTAATGCGAACAATGAGTAACTTACGATATAAATTACTTATAGCAGTTTACTCGCGTATATATTAGTCATTTGGAATTTTTCGTCACCCCTAGGTGCGTAAAAGCCATCGGAAAATACCGGACACTGCTAAAATGTCAAACCACTTTCAACATGGCGGGTTATGAGGGAAAACTGCGCCTTAAAATCTTTGAACGAGGAAAAAATAAAACGCTGACAGATAACAAGCCCGTTTCGGTTTCTTTTGATGGACACACACGAGGTTTAATCAATTAAATTCAAAGTGTGCATTTCGCATTTCCGTGGGAGTTTTTTTTCCGCTGCAGTTTTGAGTGTGCAAAGTACATGAACGGAGTGCCAGCAACCTCGGCTACACCCCTCACCACCTCATCTTCCTCATGTGCACTTTACGTTTCCTCTTTCACTTTTATCCAAAAAGGCTCACGCTCGCGACAAATCCATTTTTTAGAGACATCCTCTTTCACTTGTATCCAAAAAAGGAAGATCTCAAGCCACACATTTGTTAGACACCACAATCTATCAGATGAATATCGTTTCCCTAAGTAAACCAGAGAGCAAGGTGATTTAAATCAACATTATTGCGTGGTATATTAATATGATGAATGCAGTCGTTATTGTTTCCCTATGGGTGCATTTGCAACGATTACACAGATAATTGGGTTAAACCGAATCTGTTTAATTATTTCTCTTTTTGCGAGGCGGTCTGCTAAATCTGCTTTGCATTATCGGAGGATTCCTTCTCCAGATTAAATTCGTCACCATAATGAACAGAAACAATACAAGACTGCGCGTTATGGAGCCAACGGTGAATGAATAAATCATGAATCTTAGAATTCTTGTTGCTCCAAAGATATGTTTTCTGCGAGTGGGGATGGGTGA